CTTATTTGATTTGACTAATACAAAAGTAAATGTGCAATATATTTTTAAAGATTTGACGATTTTTTTTATTTCTCTAATAGTTTGACAAGTCTTTTATTTATTTATTTTTAGGACGTTCGCTTTTTATAAGAGGCATTGACTGTCGATGTCTTATTATTAAATATGAATAAAATTACATTAAATTTTAAAAATATGTAGAATAGATAATTTTTGATATAAATTTAACAGTTTAAAAGTTTAAAAATACTAATAATTTTTTTTTTTTATTCTACCAGAAGAGCTTCCCTATTTTTTATATTAGAAAAGGTTTAGTTCAGGAACATATATAACGGGAGAAATTGTTGTGCTACTGGAAGATTTTGCTCAAAGAGAGAGAAATATGAACTCAGCAAATATTGCAAAATTACTTGAAAAATACCAGAGTTGCAAACTTTTGTGTGGAAAAATAATTTTTGCATCTAATTTTATCGAATCATATGATACTTCTCCAACGAATTAACGAACAAAAAATTGAGAGAAAATGAGAAATGATAAGGTAAAAATAACAGTTCTATTATATCAAATTAAATACTACCTACTTTCTTCTTCATATCCTATGTGCATGATTCTTAAGAAAGACTTTTGTATAATCTGCCAACAACTAAAGGACAATATAAGGAGGAAGATTAAATTAATTACAAAAGTACAATGGACCAATAAGATCACCGCCATGGTGCGTTAAGACTGATCACGAACAATAAAATTCTCAGTATCTATCTAAAATTTATTAGTAATCCCAAAATACGTGCTTAGAGATATTCCCTTTTAAACTCCTTCAAAGAAAATTATTATACTTACCCGTAGAATACATGAATATGAATTTTTATCAATTTTTATCTTTTATTCTTTATTAATACATTTTTAATTAATATAGTTATTTGATTAAAAATATATTAATTAAAAATAAAAGATAACTCTGCACTCGAATGATATTTGTCTCATTTCCTCCAATTCTTTACTTTTATGTTTCATGATCCATTACAATCCAAAACCAAGGAGGATAAACTCAACCAAGCTCAAGATACGAGTCCCATGGCTCTGCACTAGTCTCAAAGAAAGAAGAAAAGTGTTATAAGTATAGAAATGAGGCCCATTTCTATTACAAGTGTGTTAGGATGCACGTCTTTTTGATTAGTGATTTCACAGAAATAATAAATAAAAAAAGGGGTCGATTTTTTCAGGCTATGAGAAAAATTGTCACTTTTTGTAAGTCTTATATTTACCAACTATATGTCATATTTAGCGATCAAAATAATTTGTAAAATCTCATATTTATATTGAGAAAATTGGACTATTTTCTTTATTATGGATAAGCCATACCATTTACCAAAGAAAAAACAATGATATATTTCCTAAAATTCCTCCCTTTAATCCTCACATTAGATACCCCTGCATACTATTATGGGAAACAATTAACTAATTATGGATGACACACAAAACTGCTTAGAATCCACATTTTTCTTTCTTGGTTACCAAAGAAATGCCGGGAATATGAGGAAGCGCTAGCTAGCTACATGCGTATGCCTTCCATCTTTTTGTTTTTGTTTTGTTTTGTATTTTTTTTTTTTTTTTTTTTTTGGCATCGAGCTTTAGCCAATATTGAGGATAATGGGCGACAATTTAAGGTACTTTTTTTTTTTTTTTTTAGAGAATTAAGGTACAAGCTATCTTTTTCGACAAAAAGCAATGTTGGCATAAAAGACTTGTATAACAAAAGTAAAAATCAAAATTGGCAATTTTTTTTTTCTTTCTGGAAGAATTGAGGTATTCAAGTTGACGATCGAACATAAGATACGACAAACTTTTATTTATATTACGTCGTACTCGTATAGCACTTGCTTTTCTACTTGAACTTTTTCATCGAAACGCAATGTTAACATGAAAGACTTGACAAAGAAAACAGAACAATAACGTCCATAGTACTACACGCTTCACGTTTTGAAAACTTGAAAACAAGGCCCCAAAAAAAAATGCCTTTCTTAAATTATATTATGAGTTTGAAATTATTGGCCGATCACAACTTGATTGGAAGTTTGAAAAATGATGCCTTTCTTATATAAAGATAAAGATTAGAAAAATACTGTTGGTCAAAGTTTATTTCCCTTTTCAGTTTTTCTCTTTGCTTTTGTTTGGTTATAAATAGTTAATAAGTATCTTCAAAAAAAAAAAAAATTAAGTCTAGCTAGCGAATATACATAATATGTATTCAAAAGGAGCCATTTGCATTAGGTTATAGTTATTGTATTGTGGACTGGACAAGAATGACTTTCATGGGCAAAGTACTCACTAATAATTAATAGAGAAAATTGGAAAGTGCATGAGTTTAGATTTTTTCTTTTTATTTTTTATTAATATTTCCTTTTACTAATATAGTTATTTGAATAAAAAGAATATTAATAAAAAATAGAGGATAAAAATCTAGATTTGTACATTTTAAAAAGTATTTATCTCATTTATTAAGGCAGCTGTAAATGTGACTGAAACCCATCCCCACCAAGGAGTAGTTTACACTCTATTAACGAATCATTCTTCACAGACCACAATCCAATAGCAAAAACAAAAAAAAAAAAAAAATTTTTTTTTTTTTTTTTTTTTTTTTTTACAGAGATGAAAAACAAGCGAATATTGGTCATGCGATTCTTCCAAAACTTATCATCTAAATAAAATAGTACATCAATGATTGAATAAAGACAATTTGTGTTAGAGATTAGGTAAACAGCTATTAATTAATTCGGAAATATGAATTAAAGGTTCATAATTGGAAAATATGGCATTAAAAATTTTAATTACATGTCGTTATATTTCCTTTTCGTCTAGCTGGTGACAATATCTACTTCCATATTTATTATTCAGTCATGTCAATTTGTATCATGTGTGAAATATGACTTTGGAGAAAGAAGCTATTTCGAAATTAGAGTTCTTGTTAAGTTATCAAGGCCTCGTTCATTTTACCGATTCGAGTTTTCAATTCTAAGTTTTTACAGTAAAAAACTCTCAGAAAATGTCACATCTAACTTTTTTTGCTACAGTGAAAAGTTCTTAGAAAATGTCACATCTCAGCTCAAATTGAAAACTCGAATCGGCAAAGTGAACGAGACCCAAATAAAACTGCCTGGTTAGTCTTCAGCTTGACGTGGATACAATATAAATCTCTATACACTTTGATGCGATCATCAGAGGCATGAATTTCGTGGACGTTGAAGATATTTTTTTTTTTAAATTTCATTTTCTAATAAAATAATTCTGAAAGGCACTCTTTCTTTTATTATTAACGCTTATTTCCTTTTTGTGAGAAATTAAGGGGTTGTTTGGTTAGGGGATTCGTATCCCGATTCGAATTATGGTTCATGGTTAGCTACAGTATTTTTTCTCACAAAAAATACACGTAAATCAAAAATAGTTCTAATATCATGATTCTAATTCATGAACTAAACGTCTCCTAAGTCTCAAGCTCTGGTTGCTAAGAGAAGAATAATGTAATGCGAAAGCCTCAAAACTTACAGAAACTGGGTGCAAAAAAGCTTGGCCCAGAAAATTTTGTTTCAAAACCAAAAGAAAGTACGTAATTAGATCAAAATCTTCAACACAAAACTGAGGTAATTAAAAAATCTTCCAAAACCTGCTTCCTTACATTAACGATACGAGGAAATAAGTACGTAATTATAAGATTTTTACGATAAGATATGACAAACCGTATCGATTAGTTTCTATTTCAGCTTTTCATTTCATTTTTTATTTTTGTTTTTGTTTTTATATAATTCTCACCCTACCATGACAGCTCTAAATAATTAAACTCCCATTAGAATTTCTAACAATGAAATAAAATAAAATAAATCGTCACCGGTAATTGCGCCAATCATTGTATTAATATTGTCTTATTTACTAAAATAGGCAGCCTCAGATAATAGCGAAATCAGTTCACGCACTGGATCTAATCAAAGATCGAATAACCCTTCTGTCTGGCAGAACCACATAACAGTGGTCCGTAGCACTGATTCCGATGCTGTTATTTAGTTGTCATTTTTCTCTCGTCTTGTTTCCAACACAAGGAATATAATCTAGTAAAAGCTTTCACTTGTACAACTACAAAGTCAAAAATTCCGTTTCGTTATCTTTTTATTTTTTTTTCTTCCTTACCCTCTAAATTGTTTTAACCATTCCTAGCAATCATTTGGAAGAATCCCAATTGTCCTTCGTTTTCATTTGCCTTATTCCTTCTATGTCAAGGCAAAGGCCCTACTTTTTCTCAAATCCACAGCTTGGCTTTACATACTGCTTTTATATCCATCCCGTTTTCAACTGAAAATTTTGTCAGCTTACAAATTCCTCAGCACGTGGCTAGAAATGTGGAGTTTTAGAGGGATGTGTAAATATTCATTGCATATGTGAACCCTGCTATATTGCCATAATATTGTGTTTCAAACTTTCTAGTCTTCCACAACTTGAAAAAGTTTACAGACGCGGTTTTTAATCGTTGGATATTTATTAAATTTCATTAAATTGATATGTTTTGACATGATTTGACGGTTAAAAATTGTATTGAAATTTGAACGTAAATTGTAGGCTATGGTGCAACTACCACAGAATTCTCCCTACGATTAACACCATAACCTTGAAGAAAAACCTTTGAAAATCACAACGACAACAATTGCGAGCATGAAAGTGAAAACCTCAACTACTACACAAATTTAGACAGCTCAGTAGTTTTTCATATTTGGCAATAAAAAAATTTCTGGCTATGTAGACCCGTGACATGTCTCCTCTTCTTTGTTTGGAGTATCTCGTAAGGATTAAAAAAATTTAAATAAAAAATAAAAAAACAAAAACAACAACTTGTCTTTTCTAAAATAATGCAACTTAAGAGGTTAGCAACTAACACCAAATCTGGATTTTGCACAAACTCATGTTAATCAAAACCAGTATCTTGGAAATCTACAGGTCATCTGTACCCAATTGTCCTTTTTTTTTTTTTTTTTGGTTTTGTCTTTATGACTTGGTTCGGGTGTTACGCAGAAGGCGGAGTTCCATAACAAAGAACAAAACTTATGAAGAAATGGAATTTGCATCAACAGAATTAAATTTTTTTTTTTTTTTTGGGTATTGATTAACTATTGATACAAACTACATATCAGAAACCTCTTTAACTCCTTTTTCCAAGTCTTATTTTTCTTACCAGTGAAATTCCAAATTCCCAGTTTTTTTTTTTCTCCCTCCCTTTCACTTTTGCTCTTATTCCTATGTAGTATGTACCGCTTCTCAACCAGACAAAGTAGGAAAGCAACTCTCCGACCGAGTGAGCACCTGACCGCGAATTTCCGCGTCAATTTTCGACGTGGGGCTGCTCGGTGTCGATCTCAATCCCCTCGGAGAATCCAAACTGCGGCGCAGAATCTGCCTCATGGCAGAAATCAAGCAGACAGTAGGGTCCGGAGGAGGACCCGAGGTCTTGAATTTCTTAAAGAAGTTCATGTGCTTGGCCATTGCTTCCTCTGTACTAATGAGCCTCTCCGACCTTAAGATCTCGTCATTGATGGCCTCGGCGCAAAGTCCGCAAATCCAAAGGCCCTGATACCGTTCCCGGATGCGCTCTATGTAGGCAGGCGTGCACTCCTCTGTTAGACCGCAGCACTCGCATTTTGCGAACTCGATTTCTGTTTGCGCGACGAGTTTCGTCGTCGTTGCGGTTGCTTGACTTTCCACGGCGGATATGACCATCGGATCGCCCACAATTGTAGCAGACATTGCCAAATAATCCTGAAGAGCCCAAAACAAAAACCAGATTAACCAACACTGCAATAAGCTTCTTTCTTCAAAGTTTTCTGTTTGCAGTTCTTATTGGCGTTTCTTTACTTTCACTTCCGTAAAGAAAAAAAGAGACTTCTCTTTTGATTAACGAAGAAACTTTATTTCTTTTCCATTTTTTTGTTGTTGAAGAAAAGGAAAAAAGGGGTTATTTGGTAGCTGTTCTTTGAAGCTTTGTTGTAGGACAAACATATCTAAAAGAATCCTCTGTTCTGTGATAAGCAAAAGAGAATGAAAAATGTTCTTTCTTGATTTCTGAAAATCAGAATAGATTTTTGGAAATGACACGAAGATTTAAGAGAGAAAAAAATATATATAGGTAGATCCAGAAGACTAAAAGCCCAGAAAGAAAACAAATAAAAGCTAAAATCTTTACGAGAATTACCAGTAGAAGCAGAAAAAAGAAAAAAGAATAGCTGAATCCCAATACTCTTTTTGTTTTCGCTCTCTACTTCTGCTATAACTTGGCTTTCTGCAGTTATATCGCTATCTCTCCTTCTCCCACTCTCCTTCAACCTTGTCTTCTTTAGTGACGAAAATCTCGCACATCAAAACCATTTCAAATAAACCTCAGCTATCAAAACGTGCCCTTTTTCCTCCTTCGGATAACTTTTTACTTGGAAACTCAAAAGAAAACTGCGACTTTTTCTCTTCCTTGATGATTTTCTGAGAAGCCCAAATCTTAATTTGAGCAAATGAAGGGATCGCTTTTTGTTTCTCCTCCACAAAATCTGCCAACTCAAGCGTATTATGTAAATCAATAGTTAGTGAGAGAGACAGAGAGAGAAGCAGTTTCTAGAGAGAGAGTTTTGGACAGAGAGATACCCAATGATTGAAGCTTTAAGGGGTAGACTAAGTATAATCCACATCAGCAACATTTGCTGTCAGTGAATTCTGGCCGTTGATTAGTGGATTGACAGCTAAGCATTATCATGTATTTTCCTGTTTGGAGGCTTTTCCAGTTTCTTAGTAATTTCTAGACCAATCCGTAGGCTCCACGTGTAGCCACTAACGTGTAAGGTTATGCTCTCATGGTTTTGCAGGTATATTTCCTTATTTGGTATCTTTCTCTTGAATGAATGGCTAATAATAGGAAAATAGTAAAAAATACGTCAATATGAAAAGTTTAAAAAAATATATAGATTAATTTTTAGTTATAGAAATTAATAGGTTATAACTTGTCAAGTTATGATTTATAATCAGATAAGTTATGAATAAACTTGTTAAGTTATAGTTTATAGTCAGACAAGTTACGGATAAAAACTGTAAATTATGAACAATAACTTGTCAAGTTATGGTTCATAACCAGACAAGTTATAGACGAAAATAGTAATTTAACTTATTTATTAATTTATGTAAACTATTAACCTATTAATTTTAAGTCATCTTAAATCATGACCTCCACTTTCTCTCGTTTGAGTTGATGAACCATCTTATGGTAAAAAAGCTATGGGAATGATTTTGGAATGTAAAAATATAGGGATGATTCTAACATATATGTCATTTTTATTTTACCTTTTAAATTTTAAAAAACTCTTATTTTGACATCGTAAATTTCGAATTACTCCTATTTAACCTCACTGTTGGTTTTCTATTAATTAATAATAGAGAAAAAAAGAAAAGAAGTTTGTGACTTATTCAAAATTTAAGGGTGAAGTGGAAGCTCTTAAGTTCAAGGGCAAAACTGAAACGATCCTACTATTAAAAGTGTTTTGGTCCAAATCACGTGTTCTATGATTTTTGCAACGAGTCTTGGATTATTTAAAGCGAACTGTAGATAAATACTTCTTAAAATACATGGATTTTAAAATTTATTCCTTACTGATCATTAATATTCTTTTGTAATCAAATAATTATATTAGTCAAAAGAGTATTCATAAAAAATAAAAAGTAAAAATCTAGACTCATATATTTTAAAATAACTTCAGCAATTTTCTCTTATTTTTTTTAAGCCATGGACGGGAGGGGTCACACTTCCTTTGGATTAGAAGCCTATGATAACAACTGAATAAGGGCCAACACTCTCATTTTATTTTATTTTTTAAAATTTTATTATATTTCAACATGTGAAACTCTACATTATATATTATGAATAGAAAAGGATACATATGTTTCTTCAACTTTTTTTCACCCATCCTTATAATAATATATAAATTTGTTGATTTTTGTTCAACTATATATATATATATATATTGGAAAGTATCAGCTATAGTTTTATATATGATAAATTTTATAATTTTGTGCTTGCTTCCCCACTAGGTCGTTTGAGCAATGAGAATTGGAACATTGGCCTCGGTTATGCTGTGATTGGAGATAATGATGGAGTGGTAGGTATTCAAGTTGGGTCGGATCTTGAACATCAGGTTGGTATTCGCGTATCATTGTTGTTGAGTCGGATGCTGTTAATCTCGTAAATTCTGTAAATGATTACATCTCGACTAGTTTATTTTGATGATTGTTCTGTTATTAAAGTTATTTAGATCGATGTCTATTATACTTGATGATGGTTTTCATTATCATATAATTCCTAGGATAGGAGTAAGGTAGCTCGCTTTTAAATTAAGGCCGAGTTTGGAATTGATCCCGTTTTTATTTTTCATGTTTTTCAAAAAAGAAAAAATGAAAACGTTTCTAAAATGGCGTTTGGCGCAATAAAAACAAAAAACGGAGATGAAAACGATTTTTTAGTTTAATGTAAAATGAGAGAGAAATGAAAAATGATTTTTAACCGTTTTTCATTTTTTGTTTTCATTTTCTCTTCTCTCGAGCACGGAGATATATATATATATTAATGGATTTTTTTTATACTGAAAAGAATTTCTAGATAAAACTACCAAACGCATTTTCAAAAAAAAATTTTGTTTAAGATTGAAAATGTTTTCATTTTCATTTTCATACAAAAAATAAAATCATTTTGGAACGAGTTCCAAACGCACCTTAATTATTCCGTTTTTTATAGTTTTGACTTTGTTAGGGGCATTGAGGTTGTCCTGTTGTTTATAACCTTTTATTATTTTTGTCGATTCAGATTTTAGACTTAATGATATGATGTGTTTTACCAAAATAAATACATAAATAAGAAATTTACCAAGTATAACATGCACGTGATTAAAATCATAAGGTTATTTGAAGAATATACATAACACAACTATCTTATTATATCGTAAATAACATGTGTAGCTTTATAATCCCTCGCAAAATGCAAATTGCTTAATTAGCAAAACCAACTGAGTTCTTAAAGATGCAAAGCTTCTTATCTATTCTTTTAGTCATGTTTCTATGACCATCCAAATATTTTTTGCGCATCATATAAACTACCATAACTACTAGTCCACTACATTTATATATCCACTCAACTTGACACGAGTTTCCTAAAATCTAACAAATTAATATGATCATGTGCCAAAATTTAATTCACTAAACAGAGAACAAGACAAGAAAAGATAGGCATAGAATTTTGGGTTCCTTTTAAATAATTTATGGTTAAAAAATAAATAGTGTGAATGCTGCGTATATATTGAGACTGTTCTTTTAGAAGCTTGATATGGCTATTGCTTAGTAAAGAAGTGCCAATTATGTCCTTTTTATTTCTAGAAAAAAGTGTGAATGCTAGCTATCTTATGGTGAAATACATATTCGACACGTATATATAAATATATGGAAGATTTCCATGTGATCACATTTAGAAATGATAAAATGACAAATCACTTTTGACCAAGAAAAAAAAAAAAAAGAGACGAGTCATTTTATTACACCTTTAATAATTGGGTTTTTTTAGCATTACCTAATAGTGCATGTTACGCAATCCGTGTAGGCGTCGTCCCCACAACAGCATTATTAATTTCTCCAGCACGAGGATATACCTTGCTGGCGATTCCAATGCGATCCCATTTGATGATCCACATTTTTTTTTTTTTTTTTTCAAAAAACAGTCACAGTCAAAATTATATGCAGTTCTTATTTAATAGAAAAAATATTCATATTAATGAATGGACCAAGCAGTGCCAAACGTAGCTAAACCTAAACGATATTTTTTTTTTAAAAAAGAGAGAGAAAAAAAAAAAGACAGTGAAATTATTGCCCATATCGATTATGAAAGAGACTTGCACTTTGCCATACCTAGCCAGACTCTCAATTAGAGGACAATTCCATTTATGAATTGTTATTATCACTTTCCATCACCGGCATATGTTGCGGTCTCCTTTTGATGTTTTAAATGAGGTATGGAAAACATGTATATATGACTAGACATGAATTGCAGGGATCCAAATTTTCTGAGATATATATTTATTATTGAAAACATGCGTGTAATTTTAATGATTACTTTATTAATTATTTCTCTATTATTGGGTATCGTTATTTTAACCAATATTTTTTTTTATCACATCACGTCATTAAATTTTTATATTTTGATAATAACCATTGATAAAAACGTAACTATTAAAAATTTATCATATATGTGCGCGCATATATATATATATATATGTATATATATATATATATATATATATAAAAGCATGTGAAACGTGAATTTCTAGCAGTGACATATGGGTGATTTTATCATCAATATATGCTTTCCATCCTCAACAAGCAATAAAGTAAATGTATGATTGTTGTTTCTTTAGTTTAGAACGTTCTTTTATTGAGAGTTTATGTTACTAATCCGTGCAAGAGAAGAACTTTAATATTCAAAAGAAAATTATTATGAAGGAAAATCAAGGAATGTCCACATAAGTAGATCGCATTCTGTTCTTTTCAATTTGTTCTTTAGTATTATTTTGACATAGTAGTTTATAAATTAGTTGATATTCTCTTTATATTGGTCGACTGTTAATCTTGGGTTTTCTTAATTAGCCACAGTACTTTATTTAATTAGCCAAATCGCGTTCCTAGTCAGCAGAACCGAGTAATTAACAAGAAAGTCTAGAAGGTGACGTGGTAATTAATTAGAATAAACTTTTGACATGGCAACATAATCGCAGTTACGTGTCGCACACTAAGCATGCTCACATATGTATATAGTAAACCAAGTGGCCATGAATAATTATATGGTTCTTTAATATCTATTATTCTTCCAATATGTAAAAAGTGTATTCTTAATATGCTTGAAAATGATGTGTTCATTTATTAATATTTCATATACATATGCACATAAATATTTTTGTATTCTCAATCTTAATTTTCTATGGAAAAACAAAAATCTAATCGTCTACCCATGAAGTAGACTGGAGAGGAAAGGAAAATGATTCGTACGTAGCCACGTACCCACAGCATATTTTATTATTGTTTTGTTGATAAATTGCTTGATGGAGAACCCTAAGATTTGCTTACAACCACAAGGAGACACGGTAATCCTTTTGAGACCAATTTAGGGTGCGTGATTTGCATCCATTTATTCCATCTAGATCTTCGGTTCCATTTCCTTTTTCGAAAAGCCAAGTTTTACAAAATTAATTGCAGAGATTTAAAAATAAATAACATAAAATAAAAACACGCCCATTAATCTTTGTAATTTGACCTCAGTAATAGTAATGTTAAAGCATGAAATGACATACCCTTGGTTGATGCACAAGCTTAATCATCCAATTATTACTCAAAGCAAAGGGGTAAATATATATATATATATATATATATATAGACGGGTCCGAGATTTGGGGGAGAAAAGGTTAATTTTGTGCACAAAGCTTTCTAAGATAAGAATTTGACATACCAGGATTAATCAAACACAAGTTAACATGTATCACCAATTTCGTACTTTTCTCTTAACGTATTTGGAAAATACAATAATTGATTACTATTTTTCTTGGATAAAATACTTTAATGTCTATACAACGCAACCTTTTAAAATTTATATATTCTATCGATGTTCACCTTCAAATATAAAATTTGATGATGTGACGTGATAAAAATATAATTTTATTTATTGTCATAATTTTTTTAGTTAACTATTTAATTTATTATAACCGTCGAATTAATATATTGTGGCCAAAATAATAATACCATTGATGAGTAAATATTAGAGTAACCATTAAAACCACACTCATATATATTAATTTATTATAACCGTCGAATTAATATATTGTGGCCAAAATAATAATACTATTGATGAGTAAATATTGGAATAACCATTAAAATCACACTCATATATATGCTAGGATATATTATTTATAGTATCAAACATTGGCTTTATTTAATAATACAATCCATGATGGAACGCACAGTCGGATTTGACGTGGATTTCCAATTCTAAAAATTTGACAATTCCAATTTCACAAGTGGAATTGCTTTCATGATTATAGATTAACTAAATTATAGTTCCTCTAGTCCCTAGTCAAGTAAAGAATGCACTTAAAAAATATAAAAAGTGACTAATTTCAGACTAAAAGGAATTTTCTATAAACTGCTTTTTTAATGGTGGTTTTAAATGGTGATCATTTTTAATAATGTCAAATTTTTCTCTTCAATTCGTTTCTTTACTTTTCTTCTCTGATTTAAGACCACCATTTATGGCTCTATAAATGCACATCAAAATCCATCTTTAGTTTGGTATGAAAACGAAGCTGGTCAATAAGAAACGACTGATGTGGGCCTGCCCACATATTCGAGAGCCATAAATGCAAAATTCATGTTTGCAACAACAAGGTTTGCCTTTGAGCACAGATGCCATACAACAACAAGATGAAGAACTGATATTATTTAATATCAACTATGCCTGCACAGCCCCGGCAGTGGCGGTTTTCCGACAGTGCGGTTCGGTTTAAAAATGACAGTTAGACAGTTATTGGAACCAAAACCGACCGTCATGTGTGGCAAACAGGACGGTTTACAGACAGTTTGGGTCTCTTAGATCTACTTATGCTGTTAATAAATGTAAAACATATATACATTTAAAGGTAATTTTATAGTCATTTACAATAAGTTCATTATCATTTTTAGGTTGAAATTAATCAAATATCAAACACCATATATTTCTTTCATGATCATACTTGTTAAAAAGAATAAAAAACAACTAAACAAAATACATACTTAAATCTTAACCCAATTAACCGGTTTTACTGCACCCCCTATATCAACCATTGTTTTCGGGTATTGAACAACAAAGAAGCTCTAATTTAATTTCCATGCGGTTTGATTTAATAAACTTTCGGCAGTGGAAAAAACAAGTGGTTGTTGGTGATAATATTTACTTTCCTGGCTGGCCAAGAAAATCAAATATTGTTCTTAAATTCGAGTGCATCATGGAAAGAAGATCCTACTTACTTATCTTCATTCAAGAGAATACTTTCGGTTGGAGAATCTGTAGTTGATGTGAGTTTGCACCCATCACTTTGCTTTTTCCGACTATATTTATTATTTTCTCTTTGATTGATAACTTATCTGATGTTTAGTGTATTTATGGCCAAGACCAAATTGTTGAAAAGGTTGTCAATGTATTTAAACGAAATTGGGTTGGGGTCCATCTCTAAAAAAATACTATTACTAATGGCATGTTTAATAATGAAGTGCGGAATAAGAGTTAATAATATGTTTATTTACTCATTTTTACCCTCACATATGAATAAGATTGGAGAGGCCAATACAAATTTATAACTGAACAAATAACATTGACAATCACATTCCCCTACCCAATTAGGAATCCCAACCATGATAATAATATTCAATTATTATCTCACCCCTAATTTACTTACAAAATGAAAATGCTAAATAAAAATATAAAGAAAAATATTATTACAACTTATATTTATTATTTTAGTTTTCTTAATCTTATAATATTTTTTTCTAATTTTTCTTTGAATGGAATAATTATTCTAATTACTATTAACTTCACTATATAAGTATGAAGCTTTTTTTTTATTGGAAGAAATTAATTTGTTGTAATGTTCTTTTTCTTTATTTGATTTACTAACATTCTTTTTATTGTTATTCTTTAAAAAATACAAATACTATTTATATTTATTACTGTCTTAACATAAAAATAATTATTTTAATTTCCTTTAATAAACTGTAATACACAATTTATTTTTTAAAACCGAAAACATGAGTTCTCAAAAGGTATATAAGTAAATCGACAACACTTCTTTTCAATTTTGAGTCTAATGGCTTATTCATTTCATCGATTCAAGTTTTCAGTTCTAAGTTTTTACAGTAAAAGACTCAGAAAATGTCACATTTAACTTTTTCTGCTACAGTGAAAAGCTCTAAGAAAATGTCACATCTCAGTTCGAATTGAAAACTCGAATCTGCGAAGTGAACGAGGCCTAAATAAGTGCGTGAGTCTAAATAATTTAGTGACTAATTCTTATTCAATCTATAAACAACTTATTCTAACTCACAATTCTTACCTAGAATGTTGCCAGGATTTGTAGATCAGTACTCTCAGAGAATAGACACTTTCTTTTTAGTCATGGTGATTGTGTAGCGTCTAGTCAACTTCACCGCTGGATTAGCACTTTGAATTCGGTGAACTTTGTATCATGTAAGAGAACACATTTTAACTCGGAAAGCAAGTTTATCAAGTGGCCTTGGATTGGAATCCATGATAGAAGAAACTCATTTCAACAAATAGGCACGCCTACAAACTTTAAACGAACTGATCCAAACAGTCATCGAAACGAAAAAAGTCCTAATAAACTTATTTGTCTCCTCTTGTCAATAATTGATCTGGTACAATTTTTTTGTTGCAAGCCGGAAAATATAGCAAACCAGTATAAACCAGTACAATTTGTCTCCTCTTGTCAATAACTGATCCAAACAATCATCGAAAGAAAAAAGTCCTAATTCGATGCCATGAATTGGAAAAGATACCTTAATCAAAAAGGAAATTCATTCAAAAGAATGAATTAATCAATATACCTTAATCAAAAAGGAAATTCATTCAAAAGAATGAATTAATCAATACTAACACCCAAGTAGTTTACAGCGGATAGGAAATCAAAAACTGTTACAGTTGAAAGGAATAAGTGAACAGACAAATTCTATATTCTCTGATTCTAAGTGAAAGCAATAAACTCTGGTGGCCTTTAGTTGCCACGCTACCACACTGCAAAAACAGTTTTTTTTTTTTTTTTTTCCCTTTTTGGTTTTTGGGTTCTTATATACAAGTATTTCATAAACAGTTCGCTCACTATAACACCACCTCTCCCATGGAAGCTTCTTCTTTTTCGAGTTCTTTAATTATCTTTTCAATTTGTCTTCTGTAGACAGGCATGAAATGATCACTAATCATGGTTTGCGACAACCGTAATTTACTGTAAAGCGACCTTGGGGTGAGGAAGATGCCAATCCTAGCCTCGTCCCGCTGCCCATTACTCGAGCTACTGGCGGTTGGGCTATCACCAGATTCACGATCTGCATCGTCATTATCAGAAGGAAGCAAAACCATATGCATGATCTTCCCAGCAGGGAAAAATCTGTGCGCTTCCTTCATTTCGGAACCAGAACTCTCTGCCTCACCATCACTTACTTCAGCCATGGCTGCTGCTTCTTCTTCTCTTATTTCCTTGGCCACATCAACGTCCTCTCCTTCAGTTCTTTCGTAAAGCTCCTGCTCAAGTTGCTGCCACAACTCAACTTCAGTCATGCGATCTTCGTGTCTATTATGGCCCATGAGGTCCTCACCCTCACTGATTTCAGCATCCTCATCAACTTCCGGAACTATTTCATCAGTACAAGAGCACTCAATTTCTGAAGTCCATTCCATTCCCCCGGATGTAGATGCAGGAAGTTCAACATTTTCAGCGGAAGTTGTAGTTATAGTCTTGTTGGGAGATGCAAGAAAAGGTTCACGAGCCTCTGTCTTAGTTGCAGATCTAGGGGAGCTCTCTTCGTATGAGTTTGAATGAGAAGCTGTGGCTCGGTGACGAGGACCAATGCAAGACCATGATGCCAATTGAAGGGATGGACGTCTCCACGCTGCTTGAGCCATGCTCTGGGCTCTTCTCATAACCACCTGTGAAATTAACAGAAATTAATGGGGTAAAATTTAATCAAACATGATACTATCGTTACCATATAAATACACAAATAAAAAGGACCAGATCAAAATCTAGTTCCATAAATAGTTCCAGGTTTCAGGCCCCTTCAGATTGCATATTTAAAGTGTTTTAGAGCAGGAAAATGTAGGGCAAAAAAAAAAGTCTACTTCTGACGGAATATTACGCAAGACAATAGGATCATAGCATGCAGAGGAAAAGGAACCTGATGAGTGAAAAACAGAATCCGTGGGAAATTTATCCCGTATACTGAGAAAATGGTTACCTGTGTGCCACTGGAAACTGGACGCAAAATTGCCCCTGCTCCAGCAACTTTTGCTTTTGCAGTGGCAATCGATGGAAGACGTGAACCTAAAGCTGAAGCAGAACGATAGACGGTACTAAGAATCCTTGTACGCTCAATCTGATTCCTTAGATCATTTATCCAAGCAGAAGCTGTGACCTGTAAAGGACACATTATTCAAGCGTATAAGAAAAAATTGCTCAACAAATGACGACACCCAACATGATTACACATGGCACAACCTACTAAGTATATTTCATAGTCAGGAGTAAGGGCAGAAATGAAACATAAAGATGAAGTCAAACACGCTCTACTAAATCAATCAACCATAAATAAATTCCAGTATTCCAAATTTCATGGACCAAATTAAAAACAAATAAAACAGAGTTCAAGATTGTGACCTCAGCACGCAAATCATCCACTGAGGCAGCTGAGAAAGTAGGGACTAAATCAGCTCCATTTATAACGGAAGTGATGACATCACTGCCTGATTCAGCCAAGTCCCACGTCATACACGCAGCTGCATTTTTATGCAAAATCAGTATAGTGTCTATAACTAAAAGAACAAACACCTCTAGCATGTGAAGTTTGTGAATATGAGCAAGCATATACTTGACTTGGCAATATTATACATGGTAAGAAAGAAAATGTCTGAGACCATAGGAGCAAACCCTGTACAAACAACACAAACCTGGAGCAAATGTTACACATGTAGCTGTTGCGAGTTCTTTCTTCTCTCGCAGTATATAAGTTAGAAGTGCTGCCGTACCTCCACCCAAAGAATGCCCAACAATCTGTTTTCGTCAAATTGCTAAACCGTTATTTATCTGAAATTATAATCATTTGCAAAAACCACCAACTGGAAAATAGAATATGTTTGTTCTTTTACATGTTTTTTACCTTTTTGTGACTAAAAACAGAAATTCAATTTGATTAAACCACATTGATATGCTCCCAAGTCCAACTGAGTTTGAACAAATACCAAATCTACTAATTATCGTCAATACCTTTAGTTTGTAACTAGGATTTTGATCAAGTGCTTTAATGATACAAGGAGTTGCAAGTTTGGCAATCCACCGAGCAGCCGCAACCATTCCGCAATGCGCATAACCCAAAACCAAATTGGCAACTCCACCCTCACGTACAATACTGTGATGGAATGGGACCACAGCCCCGGTAGCAGCTGTAAGAGTATCCTTGATACTATGTGTCCCACGAATTAGCAAGAGAAAACATTTATCATTGTGATCAACGAGAATTGTAAAAGCTGGCTTCAAAATCTGCCAACAACAAAAACACAGATAAAGATAAGTTCAGATCAAATGTAGAGGAACATTCCCTCCTTCCCACACAGACAGAAGGGTAGACGCCGCAAGCAAGCTGTTGTGACAACATTCAAGCTCAAACACGACTTACTCCTGCTTTGGGTTCTTGAAGGAGAACATTTTCTTCAGAATAACCAATCTCCTCTAAAAACAAAGGAAATGGTTTTTTCGAGAAGTGCCAACAAAGTGTCAACAAGTTCAAAAGGTAGCTGAGTTCAGCAATTATTTCGGGACCCTTCAGCTGTTCACTGTCTTTACCACCAAAGACACTGCCAACATGTAAATGCCCCTGCAAAAGTGAAGTAATAACTCAAATTGATTTTCATCGAATCCAATACTAAATTTTTCCCACAGTGAAAACAACAAAAGGCATTAGTCCATTACCTGCCTCTTTAGAAGAAAGCTGATCCCAAATGCCAAGTCCCCAATAGGCCACTTCCCTAAAGTCTCAGAATAAGTAAACCTCAGTGTCTCTGACAAGGTCGAAATCGTCTCCAACCACGTTGCCGGGGCCTGAATCAACCTATGCGAAACGCGGTCGATTCCTAAGCGGGCATGGTTGGGTACACTACTGTCGTTTTCTTCATCTTCTCCACGGGACCTACTTGATTGTAATTTACGGTTCAATGTGTAGTACAAGAGGGCAGCTGCACCTGCTGTCGTTGCCACTGTTGCAGTCGCCATTATCTTACCTCCTCTAAACGCTCAAAATTGAACTTATAAGTTTCAACTTAACACAAACAACTTGAAGTACCAATTTAGTTGATTTTGTCATACATTATTTAGCATCAAATACTAAAATTACTTGAAAATTTCTCTTTTGGTTCAATCATTAACAACTACACGAAAAAGTTGATTTCTTTTTCATTTTCGTTTCATATTACCACCAAGGAGACCAAAAGAAATATTCTTTTTTTATTGTTCTTTATTTCCTGCAGTCTCTTCTCACGCGAAGACAACACAAGTCCAAGACTTCTAAAAAGATATTCAGAAATTAAAAGATTGAAACAGAAGGAATTGAAACCAGAATTTCAGAAAAAGCATCTAAACGGCGAAAGAGATAAACCCTAAAAATCCCAAATCTGAAGCATATTTCTTGACAAACAAACCTGAAGAGCTCGATTTTTGCGCAGAATCAACCACTGATTAAAATCTTCTTCTTCAAAGCATCCGAACGACAAATCAATCGCGAAGAATCAAAAAAACCCTTTTTTTCCGAATTCTCTCTCTTTTTTTTTCTCTGTTTTCTTTTTTTATTTCTTTGTCGCTAAGCTTTCGAATTTCGACTAGGGACGAAGCGAAACGCCGCCTCGGAGTACGTAGTTTTTTGTATAGTTTTATTACGCGTGAGGGACACGTGGCAATAGGGTGCGGGAAGAACCGACCTGAACGAAGTGGTTCGAGAATCGAGGTCAAGATCTACATGACGATGGCCCCACTTTGGCTAACAACCTGAGCCTGCCCTCCTGCCGCTGGCGTCCCTCAGGTTCGTGCAGTTATTGTTATTCCTTCGTTCCCTCTTTCCTATTGTTTGGCTTTTAATGCTGAATGTTATGAAAGAGATTCCAGAACTTCCATTAATTAAGCTAGAGACAAATAATATAGGTTGAATGAAATATGATTAACATTTTCTTTCCTCGTTTTTTTAGGCGTCAGTCCATTAAATCTATATTACTTTGTATTAAATGAGAAAAAAAAAATCACTCGTAACTTTTTTTTTTTAAAAGTTAACACACCCAAAAATGATAATTCAGGAATGAGACCAACACATAAGAACTGAATTATTTTGTTTTTTTTTTTACCTATAAAGTAATAATAGTAATGTCTATTCAATTATTAAAAATATATATCACAATTAAGCTTAATTTTAATTTTAATTTTTACACTTAAAATCAAAATGTATTAAAAAAATATATATCACAATTAAGCTTAATTTTGATTTTAATTTTTACACTTAAAATCAAAATGTTCAATCCACCGCATATCAAACCCATGATCCAAATCATTGCCTACAAAACAATATTTTCTTATTTATTTCACCTTAATCACGAACTTGACTTCTAAATCAAAACAGTTATAAGAGATTGGGTGGGGACCCATTAAATCTCTTTTTCTTATTTCCTCTCTTCTTGATGCCAAACAGTTAATTCTCAAATTTGATATCTTAGAAGGCCATAACCCACGTTTGAAATTAATCCCGTTTTTATTTTTTACGTTTTTCAAAAAAAATAAAAATATTTTTAAAACAACGTTTAGCGCAATAAAGATAAAAAATAAAAATAAAAATGAATTTTTAATTTAATGTAAAATGAGAGTTTTTCATTTTCTCCTCTCTCAAGGAGAGAGAGAGAAAGAGACATTATTAAATTTTTTTACACTGAAAATAATCTCTTGATAAAACTACTAAAAATATTTTTAAAAATAATTTATGTCTAAAATTAAAAACGTTTTCATTTTCATTTTCATACAAAAAAATAAAATCATTTTGAAACGAGTTTCAAACGCGCCCTACATAACTAAAACCTTGTTTCCAAGTTCATTTATATCATGAGATCATAGATATTGATTATGGATGATAGAAGCATCCAGTGTCGATGTAAATTTAGATCCTGCTAAATTAAAGTAACGAGAGCAAAATAGATTATCCCAGCAACTAGCTCTAAGAAATCCATTAACAGTTGAAAACAACTTCGGAAACATGAGAAAAAATAAAAATAAACGCATCGAAGCATTGTATGATTGTATCACATTCCAAGTTGTCCTCCAATGAGTATGGAGATATGTGACGACTCAATCACGCTCGCTTATAGCAGTCAAGTGCTCGTCAATTTCCTCTGTGGACAACACTCTAAACACCGGATTGTCCTGCCTCACAACCCCGACCTACAAATTAATAAACATCCAGTTAATTCAAAGAAAAATATATATGTATGAAAATGTGTTTATATTATATATATATATATATATATATCTGTGCGTGTGCGTGTGCGTGTGCGTGTCTGTATGTATGCATATCATGCATGATCATCTTCATACCGTAGACTGAGTCCAAAGATTTAGAATATAATGGCATGTAAAAATTTTGACTTAGATATGGATAAATGTCAACGTTAAAGACGTGTTATGAATGTAAAGTAGCGTTAAATGATGTGAATTGCAGAGAACACGACGAATCAAGCATAAACTCTCGTCACTTTCAGAGGTTATTATGATAAATAGCTGTGTGTGACGAGGAAGAGTATGAACATGAGAAAGTCTCGAGGAGAAGAGTAAAATGTTTCTCAAACAGCTATTTTTCTCAAACAGCTATTTTTCTCAAACAGGAGGATCAAAAGTTAACATAGAAGCAACTAGCTACAGAGTACAGATAGATAAAAGTTTGCAGAAGTCATCAAGAGTGTTTAGAATAAATACTCGCAACCGAAAGACTCAACTACATTTGCCTTGATGTAAAGCTTATTAATTGGCTGCTGCTATAACTATAAGGATTATCACAAGACATGTCACTCTTCCAAGTACCAACACTGCCATTTCAGGCCAAGGCACAATCTACAACTAAGTCTACATACGGCAACATTACATGAGAAATCAAAACTCGATTTAAAATATCAAGTTTTTAACCATGCTGCAGTTGATAACGCATTTCAAGTTCCACCGCATTAAAACAGAGGGACAAATTAGTAAAATGAAATTTTACTACCTCAATCTCATTGGCCTTGAAATCTTCCTGTAGAACCGATTGCAAGGCAGAAATTGCAGTCTACAAACAAAAGCAGTGTGATTATGTTAGACTGGGAAATAGAATGATGTTGTGAAATCTAATTACAACATGCTAAGTATGGCCAGGAATTGCACAATCATGTTACTGGCGACAGCGCTATAGCTCGTAACTTGTACAAGATAAAGGTTATATTGTCATTCATGAAGAAAAGGAACATTCTATGATTAACCTAATCTTTTACAGCCTTTTTGCTAAACTTGCACAATAAATAACTATGAAATCACTTGCACCAACTATAGCAATCACCAACATGTCATGCAAATAGATTTCTAATGTTTATATCTAACTTTTATGTAATAGAAATTCATGTTGAAAATCGGAAAAAAAAAAAAAAAAAAAAAAAAAAACCTGCATATGCTATATTTCATACACTATGTGCAATAATTTGAAGCCAAGCCACTCTATAATTGCAAGTCCAAATCGTCAAACTGAATTGAATCCTACCTGCACAGTCTCCTCATAAGTAAATGCGGGGTCATTCTTCATTTTCTTCTCCAGAAAATTAATAGCCTCCTGTTCTTTCAATCCAGCACTTGTGGCCTAAAGCATATTGTAACGAGTTTCAAATAGCAACACTTAGACAAACAACAACAAATCCACAAAATTACCGTGAAAGAGAGGAACGTGACTCATTATTATAATTAAATCAGCCAAGAAATAGTAATCGCCCTTGCGACAACTTATAAGAAGAAAAGAAAAAGGCAGAGAGAGAGAGAGAGAGAGAGAGAGAGAGGTGTCATAAGTCCCCGAGTGACTATCTACACAGCAGACTTCTATTAAACCTTTGTAGCAGAAAGAAAGTTGTACGGATGTCCCTTGCATGAATTAAAAATCCAACTAAACATGTCGTGGTGGTCATATTTTGTATTTAAAAGGAAAAGAATTATTTTTCTGCATTTCTTAAAGGCAGCGTATGTAATATGCACAGAAACACGTAAACAAGTTTGAAACACGCCTAGTGTTTACCTTGTGTCCGAAGAAATGACCAGCTGGGTCACACTTGTATAGTCGAGGTCCAAACTCATCATCAATACCCAAAACCATCGCAACTTCACAAATCAAGCAAACAATCATGGGAAAACAACAAACATCAGTAACAGATTAATTGAATTACAAAATAAATAAATAAAGGAAGAAAGAAAAAAAGAAAGAAAGAAAAAAAGAAAGAAAGAAAGAAAGAAAGTCGAGGATATTGCTGCCAGATATGGTGCTTTTCAACAATGAAGAATAAGCCACTTGTACAAAATGGGCAGTGGACGAGAAACCAACCTACTCCAAGCGGTCGCATATAAGCATGCTGCGTATAGACTTGTGATTTGTCTGCAATCCTGTGCACAAAAATTATCAGACAGATTAGAACACAGGAAATGAATAGTAAGCTAGAAATTACAATTAGGAGTCCTAGATCCCATCATCACACGGTAATTAGGAACAAGAATTAGAAATCACGGCATACATTCAATTGATCATTAGAAAATTAGCAACAATCACAATGAGTTTTCATCTTTAGAAGCCGATATGGTGATTATCATCCTTTTAACCTGTCTACTCAAATAAAAGGAAACTAATTTTCCAAGTTGTTGAGTGAATCGAAGAATCGAATGTGTTCTACAAAGAGGATGAATATAGTTTCTCTCTCTCACGCTCTCTTTTAATTTTTGTTTGTGAATTAAGTCAATTTCCAAGAGAATTATATAGAAGGACACCATTTATCTATCTTCAAATTTCAAAGTAGCTGCTTGCTAGAGCGGAGAAGTTGATATCACCGTAGGCTAATGTAGCAACGAAAAAGGTAATTACCATTTAGCCAATACGTCCACAGGCATTTCATAGCCATATCTGAAGCGAAACTCAGCTGCTTCATTTCTGGCTTGTTGGACCAGGGTCCTTGCATCAGCTGGAAAAAACCATCCCAGGAGGAGAGCAATGCAATGAAAGCATGTATAACATGTACTTCTTGAACAACAAATATGCAGCAAAATATTCACACAATTGATTTAAAGATATACAGGTTGAAGAGGCATGTCCACTTAATATAGGGATCACGATCCTTTACTGAAATCCCATAAATTTCAGATGCTTTAAAACACAAGCATTTCAGAAGGGATAAGAGGGAAACCTGTCATGCCAGTTGCTAGTAAGCCAAGGTACTTAGTAATAGGGAAAAGGTGTGTTACGCTTGTTTGATCCAAAAGTTTGTCCTGCATTGGATTTCATAATACGTATTACACTTCAACCCATTCATATTCAATCTCTAAATTACAATATCCCTAAAAAAAATATACTTACCGGGACCTTCTTCTGAGTCACAACACAGACTGAATCCTTCCCCTTCACACCTATTGAGGTGATCCCCGCTGCCTTAACGGCCTTAAAAGCATACTCTAAACATTCATTTTGGAAAAGCAAAACGAATTATAAATCCTCAGTATCATGTAATTGTAATCTAGTAACCATGAATTCTTCCTAATGCCAAAATAGCTCGACTAATTTACTAAGTACAATGTAGATCTTACATTCCGGTCTTTTTCAATTAGTTTATGAAAAAAATAAAAATAAAAAACTTCAAAATTACTTTGAAAGCAGTAAGATTAATCTTGGAGAACAATTTGCTTTTGCTTAACAATAGTACAAGCAGCTTATGAAAACTTCTGTTCAACAAAATAATATTCAAATTAGTAAATTACATAGGTGTGAGTTCAATGACTCGAAAACCCAGATATCAATTGCACGAACAAAGTTTCTGTCTTTAACTTAGGATTGCCCCAAAATTGAAAACAAAATTTAAATTTCGAACTATAATATTCTTCATTATTCTCTTTTGCCCAGCCAGAATGAGATCAAAGAGACATTTCTTCTCATCACGGCGTTCTTCGGAACAAAAAATAGGGCCAAACACTACAAAATCTCCAAATAGATTTCACAACCAATCTCGAAAAATACCCACGAAACCCTAAGTTCTTAGTTGCGGCGTCAAATTCGAGTTCGGAAAAGCAGTGGAAAAAGAAAGATGCATTTGAATCACGTACCGACTTGGAAAAGACGACCTTCCGGAGAGAAGATCGTGATGTGACGATCGTATCCACCTCCACTGCCGCGACTCATGATCGAAACGTTTCGATTCCTTCTTCTTCGTTTTGTCCTTGGTTAGGGCTTTTCCTCGGTCTCCTTGCAAGAGTGGGGAGAAAGTAAAGATGGCACTAGGCACAAGAACAAAAACGAAATAAGCTTTTCCCCCAAGAAAATGCAGAGCAGAAAGCAATTCCATATAACGACGTCGTTTGGAGTTTCTGGATCACAGCTTGGGCTTTTAGTTTAGCGTAGTGCAAGCCTGCGCCTGTAACAAGATGGAGAAAAGCCCGTTTATTATGGGCTCTGATATCAATATGACCTCGAGTCATGTATTAGGCCCATATCCTTTTTAAGTCGGGTTAACTATTTTTTGAATATTTTAGTTTAATTTACAGTGATATTGATCAATCGTACGTAGACGTTTGGTTCATAAATTAGAATCATAATATTATAATTATTTTTTATTTATGTGTATTTTTTATGAGAGAAAATATTGTAGCGAACTATGAACCATTATTCGAATCGGGGTACGAATCTCCCAACCAAGGTTACCTCAAGTCACCTATTTAGTTCTTTTAAATCTGTGCTTTTCCATTTTAGTATTGTAAAACTTGATGATGCTCATCCATACAAACACAGGTGAAAAAGCTTTCATTGAAATTTGGAAACAATTAAAGTTGTACTAATTGCTAAATGTTTTACTTCCTCATAAAATGCAAATTATCAATCAATATATTCATGCATGCACATAAAATACATTGGTAATAATATAGTTATCATTTAAATTGAGTTTTTAACTACAATATAAAAATAATAATGTTACACCAACTTAAATCTCAACTATTACAGCTTCGTTCATTTCACCGATTCGAGTTTTCAGTTCTATGTTTCTACAGTAAAAAGCTCTCAGAAAATGTCACATCTAACTTTTTCTGTTATAGTAAAAAGTTCTCAAAAAATGTCACATCTCAACTCGAATCCACGAAGTGAACGAGACCTACGTACTAACTGTTGTGGCATGTGAGTTATAATTTTTTTATTAGTATATGAAATTTATTATCATTAATTAATGTGACAATTATTTAAACACTCACTAATGTAAGAATAATAACTCATATGCTATATTAATTAGTACACGAGAGTTAATATTTAAGTTAGAGTTGCTAGCCGTATTCATATAAAAATGATATTTCACCATAGTCTCTACTCACAGTACTTAGCTAGTCCATACTTCAATTCAAAAGGTAACCAATGGTTCCTAACTTTCTTCAGCTTCTGCAACCATAATCATTTCTTACTCTGATTACTTCACCTGGGTGTTGGCTTAAGTATTTTTAGGTCCGATTTGAGTTTTACTACAGTAAAAAGCTCTCAGAAACAGTCACATCTAATTTTTTTGTTACAGTAAAAAAACTCTCACATAATATCACATATTAACTTGAATTAGCGAACCGAACGGGCCCACTTGAACCGATGTTGACATCGGCGGGAAAGGCTCTAACATTGGTAGGTAAGGGTGACATCGTCATAACTGATTGATTAGGCCTAGGAATGACCATTTAGTTGGGCCTCGCCAGTTTTTAAGGTTAATTTAGGACCCGTTTAATTTGTTTTACTGATTTAAATTTTTAATTTGAGTTGAGATGTGATTTTATATGAGAATTTTTTATTATAATAAAAAAATTAAATGTGTTTTACTGTAATAAAATTTAAATCGGTAAAATAAACGAGATTTTATCTTTTTCACTCTTGTTTCACGTGTGCCCGTATGAATTGCACAGTAGTCTTTTGAAAATAGTTCTCGAGTAATGCGACCATGTGCACTGTGTTAGCGGGTTGTTGATAAGACATTAATTTAAAAATGGTTTTGAGTAATGATACCATGTGCAAGGAATATATTTATAGGCACGCATTTTGCCTAACATTATTGTCTATAACAATAAAGACATATAAGAAGCTACGCTCCGTTTATTTCACTAATTCGAATTGAGAATTTAAATTTTATTATAGTAAAAAATTTATAAAAACAGTCACATTTAATTTTTTTTATGACAGTAAAAAACTCTCATATAAAATTAAATCTCAACTCAAATTAAAAAATCGATCCCATTAAAAATCTTAATTGCCTTTATAAGAAGTTGTTATAGCGATAACAAACAAAAAATAAGGTTGCTAACGTGATGGGCACCACTTATTTATAGACAATAAATGTAAAATCCCAAAGAGTCCATGCATGGATCCCACTTAACTCAAGTTTTGATAGATCATTTTTGCCCCGTACGATGTTCATGAATCAACATTTGCGATTTCTAATTATCTTCCTAATTATCTTTCCAAATTTACAAACGTAACCAATATTATGGCCATTCATTCATTAATACAGCCACTTTATGATTTTCTTTTTTGAAGATTTACAACCACATTTAAAGGAGAAAGCTACTTCCCTTGCCCAAACCTTAACAATGAAAAAGAAAGAAACTATTGACAACTCTCATATGGAACTCGTGGTAAGAGGTGGGCCAAACTTGCCATATTTTTCCACTATTAATAATCACATTAAACACATTTATCAAACTATTGGGTCAAATTTTCGATCGGACATCCACATCATGTAATCCTTGAGTCACATTAAAGTGATAAAGTGTTTATAGACAAACACGAACAAAAAGACGCTCCACTCGCAACAACAACATCTATTTATTTTTTATGAGGTCCCAATTTACCACCAAGACGGTTCGGATGAATTATGAAAGAAAGAAACCAGGCGTATGCAATTCCTTTCCTTTTAACAAAAATGTCAAACAGATGCTGGCCCACCATGCGTCCCGCGTATAGGTGAAGCAGTGGTCCCGATTGTACTCGATTAATAGCGGCATTTATTCGTTATAGTGTCGTTGATTATTACTAATGATTCCACACAAATCACATCCTAAGTTAGCGGGCTCAATTCATCGTATCTTTATTAGAGCGGTAATCATGTGAGGTTGCTTTGCATTTTCTTGAAATGAACTCGTCCTAAATATCATATATAAGAGATTCGAGCTTTTATTATTAGTTAAAACAATACTAATAAAGACTTTTCAATTTATATATTTGTTATTATTAGTTAAAATTTTACCATTTTTAGGTTTTTTTTTTTTTTGTCACGTACGAACAACTAGTCAAAAATAATATGGTCGTATTTAGAATTCAACTCGCTTTTATTTTTTACGTTTTTCGAGAAAGAAAAAATGAAAACGTTCTCAAAACGACGTTTGCCGCAATAAATACAAAAAACAAAAATGAAAACGAGTTTTTAATTTAGTATAAAATGAGAGATAAATGAAAAACAACTTTTAGTCATTTTTTATTTTTTGTTTTCATTTTCTCCTCTCTCGAGCACAAAGAGAGAGAGAGAAATAGAGACATTAATGGTTTTTTTACACTGAAAATAATCTATTGATAAAACTACTAAACGCATTTTTAAAAATGATTTCTGTTTGAGATTGAAAATGTTTTCATTTTTCTTTTCATACAAAAAATAAAATTATTTTAAAACGAGTTTCAAACACACCCAATATATCATACAATAATATCATTTTGTAGATAGAAAATAAAATTGCAAGATAGAAAATAAAATTGCAAGAGGAAAGCGGAGTATTTAATATTTGTGTTTTTTACTAGAATTTTCACGTGTTATGCGTGACCTTTGTTAAACTAACAAACTTTAACCAGCCATTTAATAAATTAATAAATAAGTTACAAGTGGGATTTTTCTTCTTCTTCTTCTTCTTCTTATTTTTTTTCCAAAAGCAAGTACAACTAGCAACTTAATTATATTAAATGCAAGAAATCAACCCACTCCCACTTTATATATTTTACAAATTTTAGAAACAAAAAGACTTTGACAATCATGGTCATCGGTCCCCACAAGAGATTAGCTTTCAATTAATAGTGGAATCAAGATAAGTATTTCCTTATGTTATCAACTATCCAAGACTTCAGAAATCTTCTTCAAACATTCTTCCCTTCCATACGAGGCAAAGGTGCACCTCCACCCCACTCTAACCCCTATATTCCACTGTAGGTATTGCATCATCGCTCGTTCCGTTTCAATCGGTGTACTTTCACTTCATTTCGGGTCCGTTTAGTTCGCTGATTTGAGTTTTTAATTTGAGTTGAGATGATGTGAGAGCTTTTTACCGTAGCAAAAAAATTAGATGTAACTGTTTCTGATAGCTTTTTACTGTAGCAAAACTCGAATTCTAAACTCGAATCGGTGAAATAAACGGGGTGACTCATTTGACAAATTTCTCTTAAATTTTTAATCTTTTAACAATTTAGTCTCATTTCATAAAATTAACGGTAAATTTTTGTAGGCTAATAGAGATACTTACGTGGTCATCGAATGATACTTTGAAAATTTTCAGCTATGATTACGTTAAAATGTAAAAGTTTATGAAAAAAATCCTATTAAACTAAAATTTTTTACAGATCACAACATCTACTAACATTTTCAATTATTAAATAATAAGTTTCAAAAGTTATTCACGAGTTTAGTATTAGAAACAAAAACTACACAAGAAAAAAAAAATCAGAGAATTATTAGTCAAGCTAAAGTTTAGACATTTTTTGGAACTAATACTAATAACTACACAAAAAAGAAAAAGAGAATTATTTTAGAGTCCGTTGAGTTCGTTGATTTGAATTTTTAATTTGAGTTTAAATGTGATTTTATATGAGAATTTTTTACTGTAGTAAAAAAAATTAAGGCATTATTCGCTTCGTGGATTTGAGTTTTCAATTCAAATGAAGATGTGATATTTTCTGAGACTTTTTAATTGTAATAAAAAAAAGTTAAATATGATATTTTTTAAGAGTTTTTAACTATATAAACTTAAAATTAAAAATTTAAATCGATAAAATAAATAAAACTTAAATATAACTATTTTTTTCAAAAATTTATTATAATAAAATTTAAATTAGTAAAATGATCGTGAACTTAATCAAACTCAAGTGTAGACATTTTTTGGATTTTTCCAATAATTTTAGGAAAAAAAATTATTATGACACAATTGACGTTTCACTGACAAGGCGAGATCTAGCGGTCCCCACCGGTTACACAGGCTATCATATTCTTCCGATTCCAGCCTAACCATGTTAATTGGTTGTCAGACTAGTCATTTCCAAACGCCTCGCGACAATCTTGACGTGCTAAACAGTGATTGGCTACCTATAGTCTTCTAAAGTTGAACAGCATTAAATGCACGAAGTAAAAAAAAACATAGCATAAGAAAAAAACACAGCAAACTTTGGGCATGTTTTTTTCTTCAAAAAATTAAAAAAAAAGAGATAATTTTATTCGAGTTCACATTTTTTTTAAGTTTTAATTTTATTTAATTTTATTTAATTTTATTTAAGTTCTAATTTCAATTCAAGTTATAACTCAAATTCAATTTAAAAATTACACTCAAATTATTCTCTAAAAGAACAATATTTTAGGATTATTTTTTTAGAGTGTAACTTGAGTGTAGTTTTAAACATTCTTCCCTTCCATACGAGGCAAAGGTGCACCTCCACCCCACTCTAACCCCTATATTCCACTGTAGGTATTGCATCATCGCTCATTCCGTTTCAATCGGCGTACTTTCACTTCATTTCGGGTCCGTTTAGTTCGCTGATGTGAGTTTTTAATTTGAGTTGAGATGATGTGAGAGCTTTTTACCGTAGCAAAAAAATTAGATGTGACTGTTTCTGATAGCTTTTTACTGTAGCTAAACTCGAATCGGTGAAATAAACGGGGTGACTCATTTGACAAATTTCTCTTAAATTTTTAATCTTTTAACAATTTAGTCTCATTTCATAAAATTAACGGTAAATTTTTGTAGGCTAATAGAGATACTTACGTGGTCATCGAATGATACTTTGAAAATTTTCAGCTATGATTACGTTAAAATGTAAAAGTTTATGAAAAAAATCCTATTAAACTAAAATTTTTTACAGATCACAACATCTACTAACATTTTCAATTATTAAATAATAAGTTTCAAAAGTTATTCACGAGTTTAGTATTAGAAACAAAAACTACACAAGAAAAAAAAAATCAGAGAATTATTAGTCAAGCTAAAGTTTAGACATTTTTTGGAACTAATACTAATAACTACACAAAAAAGAAAAAGAGAATTATTTTAGAGTCCGTTGAGTTCGTTGATTTGAATTTTTAATTTGAGTTTAAATGTGATTTTACATGAGAATTTTTTATTATAGTAAAAAAAATTAAGGCATTATTCGCTTCGTGGATTTGAGTTTTAAATTCAAATTAAGATGTGATATTTTCTGAGATTTTTTAATTGTAATAAAAAAAGTTAAATATGATATTTTTTAAAAATTTTTAACTATATAAACTTAAAATTAAAAATTTAAATCGATGAAATAAATAAGACTTAAATATAACTAATTTTTTTAAAAATTTATTATAATAAAATTTAAATTAGTAAAATGATCGTGAACTTAATCAAACTCAAGTGTAGACATTTTTTGGATTTTTCCAATAATTTTAGGAAAAAAAATTATTATGACACAATTGACGTTTCACTGACAAGGCGAGATCTAGCGGTCCCCACCGGTTACACAGGCTATCATATTCTTCCGATTCCAGCCTAACCATGTTAATTGGTTGTCAGACTAGTCATTTCCAAACGCCTCGCGACAATCTTGACGTGCTAAACAGTGATTGGCTACCTATAGTCTTCTAAAGTTGAACAGCATTAAATGCACGAAGTAAAAAAAAACATAGCATAAGAAAAAAACACAGCAAACTTTGGGCATGTTTTTTTCTTCAAAAAATTAAAAAAAAAGAGATAATTTTATTTGAGTTCACATTTTTTTTTTAGTTTTAATTTTATTTAATTTTATTTAATTTTATTTAAGTTCTAATTTCAATTCAAGTTATAACTTAAATTTAATTTAAAAATTACACTCAAATTATTCTCTAAAAGAACAATCTTTTAGAATTATTTTTTTAGAGTGTAACTTGAATGTAGTTTTTAAGTTAAAATTTGAGTTAAAGTTATAATTTAAATAAAGCTAAGTCGGCCTCGTTCACTTTACGGATTTGAGTTTCCAATTCGAGTTGAGATTTGACATTTTTAGAGAATTTTTTACTGTAATAAAAAAAATTATATGTGATATTTTTTAAAAATTTTTTACTGTAAAAATATAAAATTAAATAAAATTAAAACTAAAAAAAAATATAAATTTAAATAAAATTAAAATTCAAGTTGTGTTTTTTTAAATTTATTAGACAATAGAATATGACCTTTTTCACTCTCTTCAACTTCAACAACCTTTCAAATATAAAAAAATATAAAAAAAGAGCTTTGGTTATTAAAAATGGCACTGATAATTGATAACTAATTGACAACAATCATCACCATTCACCAGTCACCACCTTTCTTCACAAAATCCTCTCAAATTCACTCCCAATCTCTCTCTCTCTCCTCTCTCTCGCTCTCTTCTCATGGCTGCGGCGGAGTTCTCCAGCTGCGTAGACTACGGCGTACAGCTCTCGAAGCGGATATACTACGGCAAGGACCTCCGGCCGTCGCTGTCGGCGGCGGAGGCGGTTGAGCCTCAGGCGATGACGAGGTCGCCCTCGGAGGAGTATCTACCGACGGCGCCGATGGCCTACGCGGTGGTACCGGAGCCGGCGATCGTCGACAACCCCGACGTGCCGAGCTACCAGCCGTACGTCCACGGCCGGTGCGAGCCACCGGCGCTGGTACCGCTGCAAATGCACGAGGTGGCCATGGAGGTCGACGCTTATCTCGACACAGCGTTCGTCGGAGTGAGCGCCACGTGGCGAGTGCATTGCATCATGGCCGCCAAGCGCTGCGACTGTCGTGTCGCCCTCCCCATAGGAGAGAAGGTAAGATTGTGGTATATTGGAACAGTTGACTTTTTGTTATCAATTATTGGGGTTGAAACTTGGAAGTGATTGGTTTGTGTTTTTGTTTACTCGCTAAAGATTGGTTTTTATTTTTTATTATTAAATTATTGGGGTTGAAACTTGGAAGTGATTGGTTTGTGTTTTTGTTTACTTGCTAAAGATTGGTTTTTATTTTTTATTTTTTTTTTTTTCTCAACTAGAATTCGTTTCCACAAATATTCATGATTGGTTATTTTCCATTTTTAAGTTCTCAAGAAAACATGATGTTCTAACAGGGTTCACTTCTAGGTGTTGAGGTTGAAGTTACCGGAAGATCATATCGTAGTCAATTGATCAAGAAAGAAGAGATTGAAAGTGTGGAAAGTATGGCGAAAGCCCAAGATGGAGGCCTTCTAAAATGCCAAATATACACCTTAAAAATTCCACAGGTTACTTATTACCTAGAGCTTCGTAATTAGCAATTCAATTTTTTTTCTTTATAAGTTGTCAATAGTTAATGATAATATAACAAATTTAGTATACCTACTTTGCAGATTGAAGGAGGCTCCTTTCTTTCAATTAAAGCCAGTTGGTCTCAGAAAATATTGTATAATATTGACCAATTCTGTCTCCGGGTACCTTTTAGTTTTCCTGCATATGTGAATCCTGTTGGGAAGAAAATTTCTAAAAAAGAAAAGATTTTGTTGAATATTAACCCCGGGGCTGCCACAGAAGTTGTATGCAGAAGTACAAGCCATCCTCTTAAGGTAATAAAACCATTGTCACGAGTTTTCCTTCAGCTTTTGGAAAATATTAAAAGTTTATGAAATGTTTATTGTACGGTTGCAGAACTTAAGGCGTCAAGGAAATAAAGTAAGTTCCTCATACGAAGCAGAGGTAGCTGTGTGGTCGACTTCAGACTTCAGCTTTGTTTATACTGTAAGACTTTGAATGATTGGCTCTTTTATTACTAACAGAATCGTGCTGGCTAATGAAAGTTAATCCTGTTTTGCTACTGTTTTACAGGTTTCGTCAGGTGACATATTTGGTGGTGTGCTCTTGCAATCTCCGTCTCTTCGTGATTTCGATGAGAGGGAGATGTTTTGCTTGTATCTATTCCCCGCGAACAACCAGCATAGGAAGGTTCGTAGCCATTACTATGTTAGAGATTCTCTCTCTTTTTTCTCTATAATTTTTCTTTCTGGTGTTTAAGCAAAAGCCCTTTTAGCCATTTTTTAAATGAATCTGTATTCTGTGATTTTTATAGGTGTTTGCGAAGGCAGTGGTATTTGTTATCGATACGAGTGGAAGCATGCGAGGAAACACTCTCGAGAGCGTGAAGAATGCTCTCCTAGCGTCGCTTTCTAACCTCCACCCTCGAGATTCTTTCAACATTATAGCTTTCAGTGGAGAGGTTCGCTTATTCTCATCTTCGATGGAGATGGCAACACAGGAAGCAATCCTAAAAGCTACAGAATGGGTTGGCATTAATCTTATTGCTAACGGTGGTACTAATATCTTGCTTCCCCTAGAACAAGTACGTTTAATCTTTACGCAGTTCTTACTGATCGTTCAATTTATTCTAATTATTCTCTGTCTAATTAAACAAATTACTTATCTAATCATGGTTTTGGCTGGTTAGTTGGTGCAATGTTTGCTGATGTTAGTAATGATTTGTTTTGGTTTAGGCAATCAAGTTGCTGGCAAAAACTACGAACTCAATTCCATTCATTTTCCTCGTTACTGATGGATCCGTTGAAGATGAAAGAGAGATTTGCAGTGTTGTGAAACGTTATCTCGCAAACGCCGAATACATCAGTCCTCGCATATGTACATTTGGCATAGGTAGTCCCAAAAATCTGAACTAATCTTCTCCTGTCCTTGCAAGAATCTCAATTACATAGTACACATTTATTCAACTCTCTAAATTCTTGTGTTGCCATATCAGCATGGGAAATTTAGCCATCTTTCTGTCTGCTCGTTCCCTTTAAAACTGTGGTTTAATTTATATCGCCAAAAAAAAAAAAAAAATTCCAGGTTCATATTGCAACCACTATTTCCTTCAAATGCTAGCTCAAATTGGGAAGGGCTATTATGATGCTGCATACGATTCAGGTTAGTGTTTTTCCTCCTTTTACATTACTTTATTTCATATTGCTTCCAAAATAATGCCAATAAACTAAACAAATTTTAAATTAGAATAATTTCCTTTTGACCATCTGAACTCCATCTCATACGCATCTTCTTTTTTTTTTCAGTTTCAATTGACTCTAAAATGCAAAGATTATACACTAATGCTTCATCAGTCATTCTTGCCAATATAACTGTGGACACTTTGGAACACCTTGATTCACTTGAGGTATGCTGGCCCTCATGTATGAAATCTATCTATTTGAACTATGATCTATGATTTTCGCGACCGTAATTGACTTAGAGAGCGCATCTCTTGTTTTCCCTCTTGCAGCTATTTCCATCTAATATTCCGGATCTTTCATCTCAAACTCCATTGATTATGTCAGGCAGATATGACAGGAACTTTCCAAACGCTGTTAAACTTAGTGGTACCTTGCCTGACATGAGTAACTTCACCATAGACTTGAAAGTGCAAAAGGCAAAGGATTTTCCGCTCAATAGGGTAATGTTCAAAAACTTTAGGGGTAGATTTTACATTTGCAATGTAAAATGGTGCAAAATTACATCACAAGTTGTTTAAAAAGAAACTTGTTCATTTCTATGATGAGCATTAAGCAGGTGCTTGCAAGGAGGCAGATCGATATGCTGACATCGCATGCATGGTTAACGGGAAGTAAAGAGTTGGAAGAGAAGGTTAGCTGCTTTGGAAATTCATTTTGAAATGAATCATTCTTGTATGACAATGTTCTAACTCTAATATTCCGAATCGGGCTAATTATAGGTTGCTAAGATGAGCAAACAAACAGGGGTACCATCTGAATACACTCTCATGATTCTAGTGAATTCTGATAAGGGAAAGATATTACCAGATTCAGTTCCAGCGCAAGAGGTATAATGCATTTTGTATAAAACAAATTTTGGCTCCGCAATTTTCTTATGAAGCAACGCATTTTCTTATTCAAGAAAAAACAATATTCTCACATAACAGCTCATGTCACCTACAATTTTTTGATTTCAATAGGCCGACAACAAACTTAAGCTGTGGAAGAAGTCCGAATCGAGCAAAGAGAAGATCTTGTTCCTCGGAAGCCTGGGAATGGGCTTCGGGGACTTGGCTGCAACGGCTGCAAATAAGCTGTCGATAATCGAAGAATTAAAGGCGTCTGAGCCAGCGAACTTCTTGGTTAAGGCAGCTTCAAACTGCTGCAGCCATTTGCTCAACCGCTTCTGTTGCATGTGTTTCATACAAACTTGTTCGTACATGAACGATCGGTGCGCAATTCTGTTGGCACAAATCTGCGCTGGCCTTGCTTGCTGTGAGTGCCTGAATTGCTGTTATGAGTTGTGCTCCTGAATGTAATTAGGCTATACAGGTGACCTGAGAGTAAAGACGCAAGAATCTGTGTGTTTTGTATATACACGTGGCTGTCGTTGCAATGTGTACTACAATGTAAACAACATAGGTGTTGTTTGGTGTAATGATTCTGAATCCGGAATTATGATTCTGGTTCAGAATCAGTGTTTGTTTACAAAAAGTAAAAAGTAGTTTTGATTTGACTCACCCAGAATCAGTGTTTGATTAGGATGGTTCTGATTCAAGGTTTGAATCCTGATGTGATGTTTTAAACCATGAATCACCCCTGATTCTAAAACCACTCCCTTGATTTTGGGTGGTTCAAACTCCTGATTCTGGTTTCAGAACTATGATTTGGACTTAAAATTATGAATTATGGTTTTGGTTTCAAAATCAAAATTAGAATCACTATGGTTTGAACCCTCATACCAAACGAACTCATAGTAATTACAAAACAAAAAATGTTACATATTTTTAGGGTTTTTCAAAAAAAAAAAATGTATATATATATATATATTTAAGTTATTGGTTCTAGTTTGATTTTTTATTTGAAAAAGATGAGGAAGGGAAAATTAAAGAATAGAGGAAGAATTTAGATAGAATCAAGGGAGAAATAGAATCAGAGGGTTAGGAATAGATGGAGAAGAATTCAAAAGGGGATAAAAATTAAAACTCAATATTCATTAAGGGTTAATTTTAATAATAGCACTTCTGAATAAATTATTATTAATTTTAGCACCACTTTTGTATACTTTCACAATTAACATTGTCATGTCAGCAAAAGTGAGACCATGTTATTTTTACTTGAGTTAAAATGACAATTGTGTCACATTTCAATTTTAAAACCTTGAATATATATTATGAAGCCTTTTATAATTCAAATATTCAAAGTAGAGAGAGGAGGAGAACGAACGCGGGTGTGCACAGAGACCAAGAAACTCCAACGACCACCACCGTCTACCACCTTGAGCACCGACAAACTCACGACAGCGAGAACCCACGATAGCGAGCACCCACGTAGTGAGAACCCACAAACCCAAAATCACGTGATGAGAACCCACAAACCTTCGCCGGAGAAATCAACGCCTAACCCAGAAGCACGAACCGAGGAAACCTCACCCTCGTAACATTTTTCGACGGAGAAATCAACCACGAAACAGACGAGGTCAATGGCGGATTCTGAGACAAAGGTGAAAACTTTGTTGGCTTTTCTTGTTTATTTATTTTTTTTCTTAGTTATTTATTGTTTTTTTTACCATTTTTTGTCATCTTAGAAGAAAAGAAAGGCTTTGGAGGAGGAGATAAAAGCAGATAAGGTCAGTTATTTTAAATTTTTTATTGTCATTGTGCTCCTTATTTGGTATGTGACTCTGTCTGATGGCCGGTCATATCATTATGACCAGTCGGTAATTGTATTATGACCGATCATAAGACAGCACAGCGTGCGGTCATAGCACTATGACTGATGGTCATAATTCTATAACCGACCATCAAGCATGCAGGCTCATAGTGTGACTGCTTGACTGATAAGCCTGCGGTCATAGAATTATGACCGTCGGTCATAGTACTGTGACCGCACTATGTGACTGTCTTATGACCGGTCATCAGTCATAACACTATGAGCTAGCCTGCATGATGGGCGGTCATAGAATTATGATCGTCAGTCATAGTATTATGACCGCTCAATGGTCAGACTCTTAGTGTGCCAGTCATAGTATTTTGGTTAACAACTTTGTTTACTTTTCTTGTTTTTTTTTGTATTTATTGTTTTTTTTAATTTTTTGTCATCTTAAAAGAAAAGAAATGCTTTGAAGGAAGAGATGTTGTAGAATGTAACATCATAGTCAGACGATATCTTCACAAGAGTTTTCCCGTCTTCAACAACATATCTTAAGGATAAACTTTTTCCTTGTGGCCGAATCTCAAGAACATTTCTCACCAAATCTATAAGACCAATATAAGTTGTGTTGGTGGGGACCAATATCCCCTTCATTTCACAACCGACGTATCTCGAAGCACGGTCTCAATATCCATTGTACTTGATGAAGACGTTCAATCCAATAGCAATTCCTAAATAATTTCAAAAACAATAACTGTTAATCAACATGCAATTACTCCTAGTCGTCATCGAGTCATTAAAAATGACCAGTCATAACACTGTATAATGGCTGGTCATAAGGCAGTTATAGAGTGTTAGTCATAACACTATGAGTCATTTCAGTCATAATATTATGACCGGACGGTCATATCACTATGACTACCTTACGGTCATAATACTATGACCGGCCATTTTGACTCATATTATTGACGACGAGGGAATGAGGGCGCAGGGAAGAGAGAGACCGAGTAGAGAGAGAGGCCAAACTTGATAGAGAGAGAGAGAGCTAAAAATGGGGTGTAGAGAGAGAGAGAATGGGCGTGAGAGAGTTGAGAGTTTCTTTGAGGTGCTTTGGGCGTGAGAGAGTTGAGAGTTTCTTTGAGGTGCTTTTAAATGATAATTTTGATAGAGAGAGAGAGAGAGTTGAAAATGGGGTGTAGAGAGAATGAATGAGCGCGAGAGAGTTGAGAGTTTCTTTGAGGTGCTTTTAAATGATAATTTTAATCTAAGTGGCATAGAAGTTATTTGACCTCACTGCTGACATGGCAATACTAATTGTGAAAGTATACAAAAGTGGTGCTAAAATTAATAATAATTTATTCATGAGTGCTATTATTGAAATTAATCCTATTCATTAATCGTCACAAAATACAATCACTAATATACTTATAAACATCTAGAAGATAAACTTAACTAATTCAAAAATAATCCTACAAATAAACATAATCTTAATTTAAAATTAAAGTAAAGATAAAATATTATCCTAAAAGATAAATATATAAATTAAATTCAAAAATCTTAATCTAATTCATCCTCATTAGTACACGTGTTCTAGATGGTTAATGCATGTTGAATAATTCACAAATTTTTTTTGCAATAAAATTAACTAGTTCCATGCATAAACTTGAAAGTCCTCTAATTGACTTTAACTTGGCCGCTTCTTAAGCTCAAAACTCTTTAACACACCAAGGATAAAAATATAAGCACTTATTTAGGTCGAAACTCAATACCAAGGAAGGATAAAAATAAAACCACAATCTCGTCTTGCTTCAAACTCATCTCAAAAACACCACCATCATTTCCACCATCGTAGAACTCTCCAAGCTTAAGCTCTCTAAATCCATCTTCCCCCTTAGTAACGATCGTTTTGCCACTGTCATCGTCATCGCGACCGCCACCCTCATATTCCCAAGCTCTTTCCAAATTAGTTTGAAATTTGGACTCGCTAAGGATTTTGTCAGTTTGAGAGGAAAACTTGAGAGATACCTCTATAAAACCATAAAGGGCGTGCCGATCATAGAAATCGAAAATTAAGTATACCGAATATGTCGTGTTTGGCGACAGTATGTGACGTGTATTCAATTTTCCATGAAAACGCAAGGATGATCGACGCAGTTTTAGCTCCTGGCTCATGCCCTTGAATCTGCAATTTTTCTCAAAAATAACGAGAAAATGTTGATGAGCTATCAGTCCATTTCAAAGACTTCTAAACTAACAAGCAAAATATGGTCTGAAAATTTACTCTACTAGTTTCAATTTCAAAATGTCAACTCTCGACTAAAAAATTTGTTCATATATAGCTTTTAAGAAGAAAATCCAATTCAGAGGCTTTCGCTACCTTCCATCATTCATTTTTGTTTTTTTCTAAACTACAAACTTCGTAGGAAAAGTACTATCTTCGTATCAAATATATACAAGTAGTACTAGGAGGCCAAATTGTATACCAAATCTCATATATTGACCACAATAATATCCCTAATTGTTTTTTTAAACGTAGACTTCAAATCTGTCAAAGTCACAGTTTGGCAAGAGGAAGGACATACAACAAATAGAAAATTGGAAAACTGCCTCTAGAAAGAAAATTTTACTACTTCAGAGTTACAATTGTTTTTTTATTTTTAGCAAGAAAATAGCTAGTTCTTCTTTGTTATTGGTCATTTTCGTTTCTGTATGTAAGGAGAGATTCATAAATTAAAATTCTTTGTTATATGGAATCTTTTAAGGATTGTTTCATGATTGCGTTATTAATACCACAGAGATTGGACTACAAACCTGACGTTCGGCTGTGGCGGACTTAATCTACAGGCAAGGTTTCTAGGAAAGATTGTAAACAACGATAAGTTGCTAGATTGCATAATAGATGATATTTTACCACGCGATTGATCTAACTTTGCAATTACCTAATTAAAAATCAGTGCACAACATAAATATCAATTACAAATATATATATAAACATCTATATATATATATATATTTGGATTAGAAAGAAAAAAATAACAATTATATAAACATTTTTTTTGTTTAATTGTGTTCGAGAAAAGAAAATTACCTTAAAATTGGGGTTGTCCATTCCTTATATGTTTTAGATCATGAATCCTATTTTTTTATTTTAAAGACATGATGAAGTAAGTAGCCGAGAATGTTATTATATGAGATGAAATCCATTCCTTTTTGAGAAATAAGTAAATAAATAATTCTCTTAAGAGTTGATTTGATACTTAGAGCAGTAGGAGCTCCGATTCATGAATTTTTTTATGAATCACTGTCCATTAGAGAATCAATGGTACTGAAAGATAAAGATATAATTAGAGAGGTTAACGGATTTCACTTAACTCTAATTATTAACTATTTATGGATGATTGATCTATATGTAATGACTATATCAAATGGACACTTCAAAGTTTAGAAGTAATTTATATCTATAATTACGAGAATGCAATTCCAAGTTTATAGTAGAGTAACTTTTGGAATTAATAGAATTAATTAGTTAATTAAAGAGTTTAATTAATTATTAATTTTATTGGAGCTCAGAATTATAGGTCAATGAGTCACTGCACCGTCCTTGTAATTCTACAAGATACTAAGGGCAAAATGAAAATTTTAGAATTCTAAAATAAAACACTCAATGATAATTAATTGATAATTAATTATAAATTAAAGATTATTTAAATTTAAATTTGAATTTTGAAACACACATGTGAAGATGTTCTCATGGTGTGAACGCACAACACAGTGTGAATCCTTTTAGAATTCAGTTGCTTGCTCTCTAAGTTATCCAATTGACTTATTTGATAAGTTGTCCAATTTGAAATTCAAATTGATTTAAGTTTAACTTAAATTGGAATTTGAATTTGAGTCAAAATTGGATTGCAAGATAAATGCAGAATTTGTCCTATTTTTTACCTGCAGTAGTGGTGGCCGGCCAACATATGGATAAGGAAAAGTGGATTTTGTTTCAAAATCAAATTAGAAGTGGGAGATAATTATCAAGTTTTATCTTGGAGATAAAGATTAGACTTCTTCTAGGAGTATGAACTCTATAAATAGGAGATTGCAAAAAATTAGAGCACACAATTTTTGCTCTCCTAAGCATATAGTGGCCGAATTATAGACTGTGTGGAAAGAAAAAATTTTCTCCTAAATTTCACGTCATGCGTGTGTTGGTGTTCGTAGAAACTTGTAAGGGTAAACAAGTCAAAAAAGAGAAATGAAAAATACAGAATTATAAAAGGTAAAAATTGAAGAGGAGAATATTTAGATAGGTACGACATAAAATTTGATATCTTATGTTAAAAATGCTAGCATCACTCTTTCCGTTATTCTCTATGTCACTTTCTATATTTACTGTTTGACACATAGAGTTCATTATCTTATTTTCTGTTTAAATAATAATATATTATATTAGTGTAGTCCACGTGTTAAACAATGAACACAGAAAGTGAAAAAAAGCGACAAAAAAAATAATGCTAGCATTTTTCATTTATATTAATACATATTTATTTTTAAATTTTTTTAGTGGATGCACATGTCCCATTAATATATTTTATGACCAATGGAGCACCTAATCTCAAAATCGGGATATAATTGTCTGTCAGATCGACCTATCGTTGTAGATTCTAACTTCTGATGTGGCGTTAACTTTTTTCAAATGGTTTTGATTGGTATGCTTAGACCCCGTTCATTTCACCGATTTGTGTTTAGAATTTGAGTTTTGCTATAGTAAAAAGCTCTCAAAAACAGTCACATCTAACTTTTTTGTTACAGAAAAAACTCTCACATAAAGTCACATATCAACTCGTATCAGTGAACTAAACGGGCTCTTAGTGTCGTTAATTAGCAATGCCAAAGGAACAACAAGCTTAACTTATCTCATCTTATTGGATTTACTGAATGAGGACAAAATGGTAAAAACAAAGCTATCATTAGGTGAGGCCTGGGTTCTCAGGTCCTCTCCATATAAAAGTCCCGCTTTTTTTATTTTTTTAGATAAGACACTTTTTCAGTAAATAATAACTAATCCATCTACACTGTAAGTTTGGGCTGGTCTAAACAGGATGGCATAAAGTCCGCCACTGGCGACTGTTGGTCCGGGTTAGGCCCAAGCTCTCAGGCCGGGTTAGGCTGATGTTCCAAGCCTAAAACCTTATTCGGGCTGGCCCTAGGACTTTCGAGCTTTAAGGTTAGGCTGAGCAAACCCTCCACTCTTAAGGGTCGGGGCCAGATCAAGCCGGTCCAAATTTTTACCTCTATAGAGTAGTATAAAATATATTAAAATGCAATGGCATAAATCTAAAGATATTGAATTTCAGTGGCGTGTTATGTAATTTGGTTTAAAAGAATTTCCTCCAAAAATAAAAGAATTCAAACGCCAAACAGTCAAAGAAAAGGGATTGAACGACATTAAAAAAAAAAAAAAAAAAAAAACCGTAAACAAGAGACGACAAATGACGATATAACAAGGAAAACGATAAACGACACAAAACTTTCAACCATTACGGTTACTAAACGACACTGAGCGTACAAAGAATAATGTAAGAATTCAAACGACTAAAAAGGCAGAATTATTGTATGTCGTAACGACATAGCCGTATTGTATGTCGTTTCTATTAGGCGCGTGTCTCTGTGCGTTTCAGTTCAGCGGTCGTTGGACTCGGAGCGTCGTCTTCCTCCACAACATTTTCTCGCTCTGCTCGTTTCTTCTTTCCCTGCTCCCGCCCACCCTTTGACCTCTGTGTTTCTAATAATAGCTTAAACAAAATCCTAAATTTCATTCCTTCAGTTTTTCTCCATTCATAATCTCAATTTGCAAAAGCATTAATCAAAAGTTCGCATCTTTCCGATCCTTAATTTTCGAAGCCGATTGTAATTAAAAAAAGCCTAATTTTTGTTTTTGTTTTTGTTTTTCAATTTTTTCTGCAGTTCGCCGTCCAGATGCCAATCTTCTCGGTTCCCCATCGCTCAAAGTTCTTGTCTTTTTTCCTTCTGGTCTCTGTTTATTTTTCTTGCAGGTAAGCACCCATTTTTAATAATTTTTTGTTATTTTCAAGCTGCTGATATTTTTAATTTTTGTGAGAATTTTCAATTTTCCGTTTTTTTTTTTTTTAGTTTTTGAAGAAGTGTTAATTTTTTGCTTTCTTAAATAAATCCTCCAAGAAATTCAGGTGTGAAAGCAACACGAGCACAGGAAAAGAGCAAACGTTAGCGATAATAAAACCAGATGGATTGTTTAATAACTACACTGATGAGATAAAGAATGTGATATTGGATTCGGGTTTCGCTATTTGTAAGGAAATGACCCTTCAACTTGATGAGGACGGCGTTAGAACCTTTTATGTTGAGCATTCTCTAAAGAGCTTCTTTCACAGTCTTATCACATACATGACAAGGTACCCATTGAAACTCATGTTTGTGGACGTTCTAAAGCTCCATTTTTGTTGTATGCTTTTGTTGCATTTTGATAGAAGTGATAGAGATCTTTGAGCCAATGAAAAATGATTATCGAAAATCGTTCGATCAATTCAGCCATTGATCTTTTGTTATAGGAACTCACAAGCTTGTTACAGCCTTGTTAATTTGGTTGTTTACTTTATAATTTAGCTTCATTGTAGTTCAGAGCTTTCACTATCTGGATTAATACTGTCTTTTTTTTTTTTTTTTTTTTAAATGAATTTGCTTATATGTTTTTACTAGAAGAATGAAATTTAGTCATCTCATAACCTTCAACATTGTTACCGCGGTTCCTAGTGATCCTCTCATGCTGCTGAAACTACTTTTGTCAGTGGGCCGGTGTTGGTTATGGTTTTGGAGAAGGAAAACGCGGTCGCCGATTGGCGTGCTTTGATTGGGCCAACTGATTCGAGGAAGGCAAAGATCACTCATCCTCACAGGTTATCTAATACCCTTACAGATTCTTTGTATTCTTTGTATCGCTTCATATGTTTTCTAAATTGTTAATGAGACTTTCCAATCATGATTTCTCTTATATTTTCAGCCTAAGAGCAATGTGTGGAATTGATTCCGAAAAGAACTGTGTGCATGGTTCGGATTCTCCTCAATCGGCTCAAAGAGAGGTCTCGTTTTTCTTCAAAGAGATGTCTGCAGGTAAAATCCTTTTCTCGTGTATAAAAATTGGGGTAAATGTGAATTTGCCGACTTTTGGACTGTGAATAGACCTGGAGTGCCATCTGCATTGATGAGATCTGAATTTATAAGGCTCACTAGAGTGCAATGCATGCATTTGTACAAGAAACACTCTTTTTCTAAAAAAGTATGCATTAGATTAAGTGTGTTTGCTTGTTTGCCTTATTTTTTGTGATCATTAATGCCTCGTGGAACGAAGCCTTATTACTTGATAATATAACATGCAAATATGATCGATACGCTCCTGCACATCAAATTTATTATTTGTTATGCAGAAAGTAGGTGGCGTGTCCCTCCTAACAATCGCATTTCTTTTTTCTTTTCACAGGAAGCAGCGTTATGGAACATGACGAACTGTAACTGGCCAGCAAAGTTGGGGACTGTCTTCTAAGTTTAAAGTTTTCTAGAATACTTCAGCCAGTTGGTTCGGCCATCGATTGTTTGAATGTTTTCTTGTACACTTCTGCCAGTTGGTGACTTGCTCACTGATCAATTGCTTAAAACATATATTATGTCAAGTGTCACACGACACATCTTGTTAATTTCCTGAATACGCGATTGTGAATGTTGCCACCTAAGAGACGCCGAAAAGTTCCATCTCACCCCTAAGTAACAACTCTGCACTAGATGAAAAATTGTTGGTGTTTAACAGTTGCATTTGAGATACCAGTGTGTCTGTTCTATTATTCTTTCTGATGTACACTCTCAAATGCTGAGAACGAGTTTTGTTTCTCTCTCACTTGAGGCTAATTGGAAAAAAAAAAAGAAAGAAAAAAAGAGAAGCAAATCTGCAGTAAAAGAAAGGTTCTTATAAATATTCAATTGAAAAGCATCTTGTCTCTGCAAAGCTTTAGCATATATTTACTTTATGATCCTATATCTTGCAGGAACCAATTTAATATTCAAAACTGTTGGAAGTAAATACATATGGAACATGACTGGATATTGGAAACATAAACTAAACAATTTAGTACCCATGACCCATGTTGTTCTCAGTTTGGTTGGAGCAAAGACTAGCGGAGAAATAAGCAAGTCATATTGAAAACATGTACAAAAAACTGTAATTTATATACAGATTGCATAGAGCATCATAACCCAGCTGCAACATATAGTGAGATTACAGCTTTGCTTGACTAGACTCTATAGAGGATTTCCCTTTTACCAAAAACGTTAGAAATGGACATGGATAGAACACAAACAAGGTCCTAATTAGCGGCCAACAATGAAGGATTTCTCTTTGGTTTTGAGAGACAAAAGGCCACATTTTATTACTTTGATGCAACAAAGATAATATTATCTTGATTTCTTGGGTCTTTAGGAGCTTCATGAAGACGAAACATTTGCTTAATCTTAAATGCAAGAAGTAGTAATATGTAATTAATTTAAGTGAAGATCCAATGAAAGAAGAGCTAGTCAAACAATGAGGGCAACACCTTTCTAGAAGATAATGGAAACTGCAAAACATTCCAAAATTAGAAAGCCTAGGTCCCACTTACTATATTTCGCCCGGATTCCTAAATTCTAGACACTAGTAGATGCAATAACCCCACATGGCTTTCTTTTTCTTTTTTCACTAAAAGGCTGTATCTTGGTGGAGGTGATCCTTTTACCCTTTGGGTGGCAAATCTCGAGGAAGAAGTAAATTTTGAGTTCCTTATTTGAACTCTTTAAGGCAAATAAAATATGATGACGAGCTCAGTGACGGTACATTCTTAGATATTTTTCATGGGATTATCAGTCATATCACTAATTATATGCTCACGAGTTTACTAGTTGTATTTGTACCAGTTCAACCTAAATTGAAATGGTGAGTACAGTTTGAATTGATTTTTGATCGATCATTAATTTAAACTATTTAGATAGTTTAAACTAATTGAACTACTCAATTTAGAGTTTACTTAGCCATTTTTTTCGAGTATTTTAAATAATTTTTGAATACTCAACCTATTAATTCTGCTCTCTATACACAGCCAAACTTATTCCTTGTTCAGAATTAAATGTTAACTGCACATCGATTGCAACTTAAATCATAGAGTTTAATTTTTTTTTTTTTGTCCATATCATTACTTTGTGGTGTGATTTAAGGACACGTTGCTTTGTTTAAGCTCTTAAACACGGTTTAGCTTTGAGAGTATTGATTCATGATTTTTCTTAACGCACTGTGTTTAAGAGAGTGCACAATCTCACATGTCAGTTGTTTAAGCGATCCTTGTGGGATTTGTGTCCACAAATCAAAAAGTGATTTGGATTAGCCAAACTAATTGGCTTTCTAGTTAATGTACTAAACCTGTTATTTTAGTTGGTATCCTGCAATATGAGAGTGACAGAACACAACACTCAGCCAAGAAAACTGTGTTTTTATTAGTGTAATCTAAACATCTTCTGAAAAGAAGGAATTGAAAACAACAATTAGATTAGAATAATTGACACTTGACTTGAGCTACTACAAAAGACGAGAATTATGTAGAAACAAAAAGAGGCGTTTTCATATATGGTAAAGTTCATAGTCGATAGAATCATAGTCAAATTGGGGGGTGTTTGGAAAGTGGCATCCATAGATTAAAGTCAACCCGACTTCTTTGGTACACGTGTTGGTCCGACATTACATGATGGGGCTTGCTTTGTCGTGACACGTAGCCAAATGTTAGAATCTAATCACAATTGCAGTGTGGTGGCCCACTCTAAGCTGACGTGGCTGGATCCTGTGTGGTGATTTTTTTAGTTCAGGTTTCTAGCTAGAAATTTGCATGTACAGTACAATTACGGGAAGATGCTAGGAAGAGAACTAATAAGAGCTTTGAAAAGTAAAACCCTTCTAGCGAAAAAATAGCTTTGAGTGAATAACATTATTCTCAGAGTAATGTTATTAGATACCGGTGGTGTTTAGTATTATTCATTAATAAAATATGAGTCTCATAATAATGAGATTGATAGATGAAGCTCATTTTTTATTAGTGTTGATGCTTAACATCGATAATATTTTAAGTATTTTTCTTATTGTCTTTTAAGCCTTCCTTGATATGGGGGATCTGTAGTTAAACAAGTACTGTTTATATTGTTGAGAGAGATCTATTCTGCCCAAATTTCGACAAGAGATTTTGCTGAAGGGTATTCTTCATCTCGTGTCTTAATTTCAAGGATTTTCTGTGGCGGTTTTAAACGTAATGAACTTTGACAAACTCTTTCTTTACTACTACTTATAAATGCATAATTCCTCTAGTGGAAAGAGGAAAAGACCTTTCTCAGTAAATTAAACAAGAAAAATGTGTTGTCAAAAAAATATTTATTGATATTGTGCAATTAGAATTGTGTGATGAGAATCAATTATAAATCTAACAAAAGTCGATGAATGTCTAACGATTTAGAATTATGCACTATCAATCTATCAGGTAGGGTACACATTAATTTTTTACACCCTGTCAAAATTTTAATGTAGATCCAATATCTAAATAGTTTAATGAAGAGTAAGAGATCTTGGGTAGAGTAAGAAAAGAAACACCACACTGTGATATGACTTTATTAAATCACATCAAATTTACATACTTTCATTTTTTATATGACTTAAATGCAATGTGATATTTAGATATATACCCAAAGAAATATACACTACCATTAGGAAAACCCACCATTAAAAGACCCAATAAGGAATTATCAAAAACAAATTAATACCAAGTTTTTCCTACAATTAGTTTGAGAAATCTTTTACTTATTGTTTTTACACCTTGTTTTTAGGGTTACAAGTACTACAAAATTTTGAAAATCAATAATATTGGTTATCACAGTTTTTCTTTCCTTTTCTTTTTGAAAAGGTTCTTGTCTAAAAAGGAAATTTGCTGTGAGCTACGTAGAATTGGGAGCAGGTAAGAATATGAGTCGGCTGGTCCCAAAATGAAGGGACATTCCCACGGGAAAATGGCATTTCTATGCCGCCCTCTGTCATGACTCCATACCTCTTTTTCGGACTTTCTTCTAAACACTCATATGATATGATCATATCCTTTTTGCTGCAACTTGCCAGCCCATCCCTTCCAATTTCCCATGTACAACGTTACATGCTCTACATATTCTTATCTTTTAACTTTTTTGCTACAATTGATTACTCGACCTCGTTAAGCAAAACACACGTATATAAAAATCGACTATATGCATACTAGGATGCATAATATTATTGAAACGTGAAACACTAGGATGCATATTAGTGAACATCACTTAACTACGTAACCAGATGTTGAACCACAAGTAGTGAAACGACGTGTTCAATTAGTGAAACGTGTGTGTGTAATATATATATATATTCAAGACGTTTGGTTCATGGATTAGAACCATGTGATTAGAACTATTTTCGATTTACGTGTATTTTTTGTGAGAGAAAATAATGTAGTGAACTATGATTCAAATCAGGGAATGAATCCCTCAACCAAACAACCAGAACATATGTACGTACAATAAATATATTTAAGGTTCATTCGATTTAGCACCACTAGAAAAATTGCCTTAAGATCAGTAATCTCTAAATTAATATGATATAGTGGTAAAAGAGTGACACAAAGGCTTCCACGTTCACCCATGAGTTATTAAGTATATAGGCCCTAATTAATGACTAATATTATTGAATGCATACCAAAAGTATTGGTTTATGAGATAAGAGTCATTAAAGGAAAAATGAAAGGAAATGTTTTCTTGCGAGTGGCGTATATATGTGCGTGTGTATAATATTCAATATTATATAAGAGAATAAAGGTTGGGGCACAAGGAAATATAGACTAGATACAAATATATAAGTTTAAGGTCGGAAGGAGAGAAGTTTTGCTGTGAGGCAAAAAAAAAAAAAAAAAAAGCCGTTTTTGGGAACTTGAACCCAGTAGAAACTTGGGAATACCACGGCGATCAGCTTGGCCATGAAATTCATAAAAGTTTCGTATATATAGTTTTGTTTATACTTCCAAAGCTCTATTGATCTCTCGTTCGCTTTTTGTTTTGAACACCACATAAGTTTTTTTTTTTTTTTTGCTTATTATAGATCATCATAACTTCTTCACAACGCCTTCATATTCATTTATCACTTCTGATCACCATCTGGGAAGTTAATTTCTGAGCCAAATCTTCTTCTGATTCTGATCATCTTGTCCTTTCTATCTCAGAAAATGAAGGTAATTAAGTCAGTATATTTTATATTGATATTATCATGTAATGTATCTTGTTAATTTGTCTTTTAGCTGACAAGGTTTAATATACATGTGACCTCGTTCATTTCACCGATTCGAGTTTTCAGTTCTAAATTTCTACAGTAAAAAGCTCTCAGAAAATGTCACATTTAACTTTTTCTGCTACAGTGAAAAGCTCTTAGAAAATGTCACATCTCAGCTCAAATTGAAAACTCGAATCCGTGAAGTGAACGAGGCCGTAAAGTAATTAATTAGCTAGATCGATTTGATTATTAATGAATAACGATGGTTTTGGCTTGTGTTAAAGCAGCTGTTTGGTTGGGTGCAAAATAAGCTTAATGGATCAAAACAAGCGAACAGGAAATCAAATGCAGTTCCGACTAAGAGTAAGCACTACTATGATCTTATTTTATGAATTCTATATAATTATTCGGTTTTTTTTTTTTGGTTGCTTTTCACACGTCGAAATCTAAATCATATTACATTACTTTTCAAAATTAATCAAGACCATTCTGTTTATGAAAGTTACAATGCAATTTGTGGATATATGGCATTAATATTTGATGCTTCCTTCGTAAGTTTTAATATTATTGGTTTTGAGTTGTATATATAAAATTCGGCTTAAAAAAACATAGGAAACTAATTAATTAGCCATATAGTAAACGTGTCAAATTTGGATTTGATAAGTCAAATCCAAGTTTAGATCTGATAAGTCAACATGGCGAAGTTTGGATCTTTTAATATAATACTAATGATAAAAGAAACTGTAAAGTACTATAAGCTTGGTAGATCCCAAGAGCTAATTAGATTTTATTTTCTTACAATTAAGTTCCGCGGTTAAAAAAAAAAAAAATTAATGTGGTATTTATAACTTGTGGGTGGGTATGTAAAATATGGTTTGCATTGTTTGAACATTATTTGATTTTATTTTTAAAAAAAAAGCTTAATTATCTAAATTTTCATGGTGTAGATTATTATGCAAAACAAGAGCATCGAGAAGAATTCAGTGATTGGCCACAAGGATTGTTCTCAATTGGAACGTTTGGTAACGACGATATAAAAGAAATTACGGAAAGCCAAAATATTAACAATATTCAGGAGGAGAATAATCCATCTTGGTCTGAGGAAGTACTAGATATCACTCCTGAAGAAGTTGGCAAACTACAAAAAGAGTTGACGAAGCTGTTATCCCGGAAGCCAAACAAGGAAAAGGAAATCTCAGAGCTTCCTTTGGATAGATTCCTAAATTGCCCCTCAAGCTTGGAGGTCGATAGGAGGATTAGCAATGCACTTTGCTGCAGCGAGTCCGATAATCATGATGATCATAATTATGATGATAAGGACGATGAAGATATTGATAAAACCATCAGTGTCATAATTGGTAAATGCAAAGAAGTACTCATTTCTGCAGAGAGAAATAAGAAAGCCATTGGGAAGAAATCCATTTCTTTTCTTCTCAAGAAGATGTTTGTTTGTAGAAGTGGGTTTGCTCCTGCTCCAAGTTTAAGAGATACACTTCAAGAGTCCAGAATGGAGAAGGTATATTCTATGTTTTCAGAATTTATGATTTCTTTTTTTTTTTTTTTCTTTTCTTTTTTCAAAAAGAAAAAAGATCGGTGCTTGATCTTCTTAGATTTTGCACTTTCGGTCATAGAGGCCCTTTTTTTTATATACAAATTGCTCTAGAACTTTCTATTTCTCTTCTATTTCTTATGTTAGTTTATCTCAATACAATATGCAAATATAAAAAGAATCTCACAAAAATTTGATGCTTCTAGAATATTGTTTAGTGCTAGTGATTAAAGATATATTTTAATCGTAAATATTTCACATTTGATTTTATCATCAAGTTTAGAGTTCAAACTCTAATTTTAAACTTTGAATAATAAAATAAAATACGTTTAGTAACAAAATTTAAATTCTAAACTCAAATTAACGAAATAAACGAGCCTATATACACATGCAATGTGGCTTATTTATATTATTGGTGTGCAGCTTTTGAGAACAATGCTTCACAAGAAGATGTCCCATCAAAATTCTTACCGGGCATCATCCGTGAAGAAATACCTAGAGGACAACCCAATGACGAAGAAGAAAAATGACCAAGATAAGACGGCATATAATGAGTTAAAGAAGAAAAATGATCAAGATGAGACGACGCATGATCAAAAAACTGATGATGGGGGTAAATGGGTCAAGACAGATTCTGAATGTAAGTTTCAATATATACTTTTTTTTTTTTTTTTTTTTGGTTCAGTAGAAAGTTACAGTATATACTTGGAATTTGCACATTATGTATAATATTCTTGGCTTAACTTATTTCTGTATATAAAAAGAGACAAAAGCTGACATTCATTGCTTCTGCGTTTGATTGCAGATATTGTTCTGGAGATTTGAGTCTTCTTTCTTCCTTCTAATAGCAACTGTAGCATTCTTATTACAAGGTAAAATTAACCCCCAAATGTTTTTAAGCCTTCATCTAATATTGAAATTATCCATTAATTGATATCTAGTTGACACTTTTTTTATGCAGATTCAAAAGTCTATGCCTTGTTATTTAGTTACACTTGGAATTGACCTGAAGTCTGCTATTATTTAAATGTTTTGAAATTATGGGGTCAAAAGAGCTTCAATAAATTCATCAATGGTGGCTTTCTGTGAGGATAAAAAAAATCATCAGCTCGTGAGTACTGTTTTGGCAGACGGTGGATGATCAAATCCCCCTTTTTTTTCATGGTTTGCATCTGTGAACACAGTCACAGTACTGCAATTCATGTTATTGTTCTGCTGGCCGTGGTCGAGCTACACATATTTATATGGTTTTCTACCATTTTTCTTTCTTTCTTTGTTTTCTTTCTTTCTTTCTTTCTTGGTTTTTTTTTTTTTTTTTTTTTTCTGGCCGAAATGCCATCTTCTTGTAAGATATTTTGAGGTAAATAATATTAGATAGACCTGCCATTGCAAAGATATAGGCTATTGCTTATCTTACGAGAGTACAGAGAACAACTTGTTTCTCCTTAGCTAGCATGTTCATTACAATTTTAAGGTCCGTTTAGTAGATAGATTTAAAATCATAATTTTAAATCCTAATTTAGAATTAATGTTTATTTACAGTGATTTTAAATTATAATTCAGAATCAGTGTTTAGTTTTGATGATTCTGAATTATGATTTAGAATCTGATGTGATATTTTAAACTAGCTCAAATCATGATTTTAAAATCACTACTCCTCTTAATTTAAGGTAATTTAAACCTTTGATTCTGAATTATAATTTGAACCTAAAATCATGAATCATGATTATAATTTTAAAATTATAAATAATGATTATAATTTTAAAATCATAGAATCACTTTAATTTGAATCCGCGTACCAATCTAATTGCAATTTATCAAATCAAAGTTGATTTTAATGAAGCATTGAAAGTCAAACTCGAAATTTGTTAATTGCCACTTCTAAAAAAAATTAAATCGAATGATCGGAAGAAAGTTTGAAAGGGAAATAAAAAAAATAAAAAAAAGAGATATTTTCTTTTCACCCATGAGTGATATTAATGCCCAAAGTTTTATCTTTATTCATAGACAACAAAATTGACTTATTTAAACGACCAGTAATTTATGTCGTTTTAGAATGAAAATTTTGACTTTGAAACGACATGTCGTTTCGATAATCAACAGGTCGTCTTCTGCAGCTGGAGTGAACGACATTATTCTAACTTCTATTAACGATTGGAGGAGTTTATAAACGTCAAAAATCATGTCGTTTTTGGCTCGAGCGACAATAATATTCTCTTTTTAAAATAAGGGAAGATTCCCTTTTTGAAAAAAGGAAATATTTTACCGCCGTAAATAATTTTGAAATAATTTATGCACAAAAGTGCTCTTTTTGTTTTACGGAGTGGAAATACCCAAAGCATCCATTTAAAAATTAAAAAATAAAATCAATCGCCAATCAAATGGCAACCAATGGAGCAGCCAACAACAACCGAAAGAAATCCTTCTATATCTTCTTTTAATTCCACCATCTCAAAATCGAAACCCTAGAAATTATTTTCCCTCAATATTTAACATTCCTTTGGCTTTCTCTTCTTCGTCTCTTTCTCACTTTCTAGTTCGAATTCCCCTCCTGAATCTCTTCCAAGGCGATTGGATCTGAGTGCTTTTTCAAAACTCCTCCTAATCTCCTCAATCCGGAAGAGGATCTTCAATTTCTTAAATTATTGGGGGTTTTCGGATCTGAAAAGCTAGGGTTTTCTTTGATACTTTATAAAGGTTCGGACTTTTTCCGATTTTCTTCTCGGTGGAATCAAATTAGGGGTGTTTGGATTTGATTACTTCTCTCTGGTGAATTGCGAAGAGGTTTGGGTTTGGCATCAGAGAGAAATCTGAGCTGCCAATGCCATTGGTTTGGTTTCTAGTGAAATTTTCGGTTGTTTTTGAGGTACCGAAAACGTCTGAAATCGTTGACACCAATGTCTTGGGCAGGACCGGAAGATATCTATCTTTCTACTTCTCTTGCTAGCTATCTCGACAGTAAGCGCTTTGTCTTCTCTATATCTCCTTTGGTTTTTTTTTATAATGGATTTTGGTAAAGCTTCCACTTTTATGGTTATTAACTTTTGTTTTCTATTGAATTGTGGTGTTTTTTTTTCCCTGACACGCTTTAGGCCATCTAGGTTTGTTGTTGTCTGTTCTGTCAACTGTCGTTTCCCCTTATTTGTATTTAATTTTGAACTGTGACTTGTTAATTGTCAAAGCTTTTCTGGGGTCTACAGTTATTTGAGTGAGTTTAATTTTTCGACGAACTGAGGAAAATTTTCAACTATTTTCAACTGTGCTTCAGTGTGGATCTATATATACGTATCAACATTATTATAAGAATGTCAAAGCCATGGATCCATTACCAAAATTTCTCTCATTGTCTTCTCTGGTTCCTTTTTTTTTTTTTTCCTTTGCGTCCTATGTAGTTGTATTTTTCTCAGCCATCGATTGGTTTGGGATATTTATGAATGTTATTTTCTTATGGAATACAAATTACTTTGTAATAAATGAAATTTATTGAATGTTTTGACAAAAAGTTGGTATTTTTATTTCAATTATTTCTCCTCTTCTAATGAGCAATGCACCACTGAAAAAAGATTTCAACTGGAGCAATCTGTTGCCTAGTAAGGTTGAATCTTGGATGAAGCAATTCGTTCTTACGCCATGTTCTAAATTTTTTTATGTTGCAGAGAAACTTCTTGTGCTGCTTCGAGATGGTCGGAAGCTTTTGGGGATACTCCGATCATTTGATCAATTTGGTAATAGCATTTTCATCTAACGAATTGGATTTCAAACGTTAAGATGTTACAACTAACTGAAGAAATTTCTGTTTCTCAAATGTAGCAAATGCTGTTCTTGAGGGTGCATGCGAGAGAGTTATTGTTGGTGAACTTTACTGTGACATCCCTTTAGGTCTATATGTTATCCGTGGAGAGAATGTCGTTTTAATTGGCGAACTGGTATAGTCTGTAACTATTATGCTTTATACAGTAAGTAGTATGCATCATTGTATTCTCCTAATTATGATTTTTAATATGACCTCGTAGGACTTGGAGAGGGAGGAACTTCCCCCACACATGACTCGTGTTTCAGCTGCAGAAATTAAAAGGGTAATCATTTGACATTCTTTCATGACAATCATGTTGATATTGAGCATTTCTTACATTAGTTTGTTTACCTCTCCTTCATCATATGTTGAATCTTGCTCGTGGATCAATGTGTTCAAGTTACTGAACTGGTTATTATGGTTTGATTTGACGAATCGGTAAAAATCTTCATCTAGACGTTTTACGAAAAACTTAACTTTATACTCTATTAAAGTTGAATTTTTTTCCTTTTTTCTTTTTCCCCCACTTTCTCTGGAGTTGCAATAAAACTATAGAAGATTAGAAGATTCTTGAGGCAGCTTGTCAATAGATACTTTTTTCCCCCTTATTGTAAGTTATGCCAATTTAACTACAGGACTTTCAGAAGTCTGAAGCTTCCTAACAAAACTTATGACTGCGGGATACCCCAGGGCTTTAAATTCTGGTTTTCATGTGTTTGTTGTGAATTGCCCATGTGATTTCGTGACCAACCAATTCAAAACACTAAATACTGTATGGGGTTGTACTTCGTCTTGTCCATGGATATCCTCCTCCCGTAGGTCATTTTCATTGTTTAGTTGTCTACACATAAGAAAAGTCGAATCATCAGGAATTATTTTAGGTGGGAGAGATAAGGAGAATTCGAGTAAGTTGCAAAGAAAGGGAAAAAACAAAATAACATGATATGAGGGGGCTTATTGTTTCGTATGAATACGTGTCCCCATATCCCAGAGCATGTTGCTTGGCATTGTTTAGTAACATCTGATTAGATTCTTTTAGTAATGTTCATGTTGTGATTATGCAGGCACAGAAAGCTGAAAGGGAGGCCACTGATCTCAAAGGCACCATGAGAAAAAGGATGGAGTTCCTTGATTTGGATTGACGAGGGTTTCTACACTCCCGAGTAGTTCGCATGTTTGTCCGCAAATATTATAGCGGCTGTAATTCCTTTTTTCATCTTCTTCATCTTCTTCTCTGCTTTGGTAGGAAGTTTACTTTTGTTAGAAGTCGGATACTTCTTAAACTAGAAGTTTAATGCTGAACCATTCTTCAAATTTCTTCGTGTAATATTTGTCTGAACTGAATGAATAGAGTCTTAAAGGGTGTCTAGTCTAGAGTCATGAACCTTTTCGCTTTCAGCTCTTCTGAATTTGGGTCTTGTTTAGAAACGTTTTTAGTTAATCAAATAGTCAATAGTCTTAAGAATGTGAGGTTTGAATTTTCAGCCCAACAAAAGTTATTCCCAACAACTACCAGCTGGTTAAAGCACCACTACTGCATAATTTGGGACTTTTTTCAAAAGTAGATCTTAGATGGTATATGGTAATGAATGGACTTTTCACTTTAGTAATTATAAGTACAAATTTTTATTTGGCAGTGTGTGTGGTCTATGTAATTAGACAAATTTTATATGGTGATCTTTGATTCAATTTTCCTTATCTCGCGGCTTCAAGCGAGCAGAAAGAGACAGACCAAACATTCATTTTTTGTTGGCATTATGAACCTACTTCAACAATCAACATGATTTAGGAAGTCGCGGCAAATCAAATCTTCAGTTGGAGAAAAATGTGTACCCGCGGGACCTATTCTTGTCGCGATTTATAAATTAAAA